ATTAAATATCATGTTCCTCGCACTTAAACCATAAGATCCAGTGCAACAGCAATATCGCAAAATAGTTTTAAAACGAGCATATCTTTAGAATTTCCGATACAGAGACTCACGCGCTGGAGATAAAAATGTTTTTTCTGCACAACGTTGCCATTGCTCGCTTTGAAATCCTTTTGAGTTTTTTAATCAAAAATTCGTCAAAGTTTTAAAAAATAGGAAATCGATCATAAAACAAATTTCAAATTTCAAATTGGGTCTTCCACATGCTCATATTCGTTGGAGGATTACGTTATTTAAAATTCGATGACTCTATGTACCGTTGTTTTATCGCAATACGAGAAATATACATACATTTATGCAGATTTTTCATTATTTAATTTCTTCAAATATAATGCAGGACTCTAACATTTTGTGGCAACAGTTTGAAAAGTGAACCGACATTTATGAGTCCGACGCAAAATGCCAAAACGAAACTAATAGTCCTTCGGGATTCAAATCCCTTTGGACTAATAAGTCTTAAATCTATGAAACGGGTTCTTGTAGGTGCAACATGTTAGCAAAACCTAAATACAGTGAACCTTTTCATGCCAAGCATCCCTACAAGAGACTTCCTCTGAAAATAACGAGTATTTCTGATAATATAAATTAATATCGGTACTGTGCACAGTGTTAAGAATAAGAAGTAGTACTTCTTTAACACCATAGCCAATACCGATGTTAATTTATGTTATCAGATTTTTGGGGTAGACATTTTGCCAATCTGAAAAAATGACTAAGTTTTCAACCCATTCTCTCTTTCATTTGTCATCCCGTGGCCACTTTTCTCTTAGAGTAGGATGCTGTTTCCGTTAATTTTAAAAATATCAAAATTACCTCGACGATAATTTTGATATTTTTAAAATTAAAATTGGCACAGTATGTAATTTTGAGTTATTTAAAACTAATTATGTGTTAAAAAATTTTTAAGTTGATATTTTTGTAGGCAAGAAGTACATATTTTTCCACAAAATAAAACTTTGTGGGGAAAAGGGAACTTTTTATATTACAAAAATTTAACTTTTAGTGTTTGAATTTTATAACTTTCGATCAAGTTAAGTAGTAAACACGGAAAATTCCAGAAGAAAAACAAATAGTGCTTGCTATATATTAACTACTAGTTGATGAGCATTGTGAAAGATCAAGAAAATAATGTGAAAGTATGTTTTGAAAGATGCTAATGTAAATGAAATATTACGAGGTAACTGGTAACTACTTAAATACAGAAGATTACAGATTTTCTAATTTCAACTGTCTTCATGGAATAGCATTTTTTTAAAAATTTCTTTTAAATTTGCACTTTAGTTAAAAGTCAGTATTGTTCACCATGTTTCATAGAATAATTTATTATTTTTACTTCCTTGTACGAAGTAAAGGAAGTGTTTATTGTATTCGCGAAAAAATTCGGGTATCATATTTCAACGGAAATATCCATTTTGATCGTTTCCGAATTGATTTGGATGATTGTTTTGCTTGACGTCTGTACGTACGGACAGAATAAAGGACTCGTGTTTCCAAAATGGATTGTAAAATGGATTGAAATGGATTCAGTAGAGATTTTTTTCGTGGCGTCTGTACGTATAAGGTTGTAGAGGCATTAGGGTTAATTCGGAAGCAGGAGAGATGAAAAATAGCCAACACCTTCGCCGGGAATCGAACCACGAACCTCTGGAATGCGCGCCCAGTGTGCATACCACCACACCACGAAGGCGTACTAGGAAGACGGGAGAAATACCTTAGATACACCCCCTTTTAAAGGGCGACTGGTGTTTTTAGGGGACTCAATCGCCAAATCCTGGGTGTGGCGAATCGTCATCCACCACCTTTTTGGTTCGGGCGCCACTGTAGAGACATTAGGATTAATTCTGGGAGCAAGAGAGATGAAAAAGGAGCAAACGCCTTCGCCGGGTATCCAACCGCGGAGCTCTGGAATACGCGCCCAGCGTGCAGACCGCCACACCACGAAGGCATGCCAAGAAAGCGGGAGAAATACCTTATGAGGCATTCAGGTAAAGTATTCAGTTACCTTCAGATAAGACACCTTTAGATTTTACAAGGCTCAAATACTTTGTAAAACCTCAGAGGGACGTCACATGAATGAATCTTGACGGCATTTTTAAGAGAGACATCGGAGAAAGGAAGGAGAAGAGAGCGAAAGAAAAATCCAGATTTCGAAACTCGACCAGGTCAACAACAGATAAGGCTACAATGAGCTACAACGTCACATCAACAACAGATACGACAGATAAGGTAGCAACAACTAGGTTACAAAACATCAACAACAGATAAGGCTACAATGAGCTGGTAAATAACAGCTGTAAGGTGAAATCACATGCTTGGAAAGTTTCTTAAAATCTGAGAAAACCTGCCACGTCCACGTAGCTTTGCGAAAATTTTGGCTCAAAATACATTTTCAAATTATAAACGCATGGAAAAATAAAATGGATGAAATGCTAATATTAAAATACAAATAAAAATTCAATACAGAGAATAAAAATAATGAAGGGAATGCAATTTATCAATAAACTGGCTCTCAGCGGGAAAACCTATGCAAGATAAAGGAAAGGGAAAATTCTGTGAATAGTTACTTTTATATGTTTCAGAACCCAGCGCTAAAATGCTAGGGTGGACACACTCGAGGAGATACAACGCTCCATTTTATATTAATTCCTATGGTGAAAATTGCTTAATTGCTTCGGTTTACGATTTTTTCGGTCAATGAACGAATTAAATTCCTGATTCGGGGTTTCACTGTGTAAGGTCCCTCACTTGAAATTCTAATTTAATGTTGGAAGTGAGGAACCTAGGAACTGATAAGCGAATAATCGCTAGAGTTCGAAGACAGGAAACAACAAGAGAGAAGGGTAAATAACCCTTTATTATTTCTATAAGATTTCACAAAACTCCGCCTGGGAGTGAACAAATAAAGTCCGCACTTTGGACTTGAACTTAAAGACTAAGAATTAAACTAAAACTAAGATTAACTAACTAAGTATAGCCAAAGCTATCAAGGTTCAATGTGAGTTGGCCCCTTAACCTATTTTACTACGAAGCTTAGCAAGGGCCTGAGTACGGCCGAGCGTAAAAATAGCTTTGAGAGAGAGAGCGGCCAAAAAAGGCAGACGCGCGTAGTTCAGAAACTCTGTTTCTCTCTCTTTCTCGGTAAGTAACTTCGTGGTTTAAATACCGCTCCTTCTCATTAAATATTCAGCAAATTCCAAAACTACGTTCTGGCCGGAAGTAGTAAGTTTAAGTTAAGAATTTGACAGAAAAGGAACTTTAACTTAAAATTTAACTGTTAATAAAATTAACACAATCCTTACAACTGTATTGTTTCAAACTTGCTTATACTCTTAAGGTTTAATTGAGATAATAGTGTGACAAAACATTTTTAGCTTATTTATAAAGCGATGTTTTTACAGGATGCTTAAAACAGTGAAAAAAAAGGGGGGATAAAGTTCCATATAAAAGCAGTCCGAATGGGCCGATTAAAAAAAGGCGAAGAAGAAAAACTTGAGAGCGGGGGAAATGATCATAAAGGCAAAGGCTGCTGGTAGTCACACTATTTCCATCTTACCTCTACGGTGCTGAATATCACTTCTGTCATGTCCGTATTTAGGGAAGAGCTGAAGGAGTTATAGCTCCGATAACTGAAGTTTCAGTTTACAAATAAAAACTACAGCAACAAAAGCGGTGGTTTTAACTAAAAGTCACAACTTGTCCTTGCCCATCCCGGAATTAAATCTTAGCTACACTCATGTCTTTTGTCAAGCGACCACTCCTACAGAAGAGAAATATCTGATGTGGACACCACATGAGTTCTTTGTACGGCTACAAACATAGTAATACTAATCTATGCGTATATGCTACTATATCTATGTGTACGGCCTATTAGATAACACAGACTTTTTGCTGCACTTCATCTAAACTTATTTACTCGAAATTTCATTCGAGATATATTTCATTTCAGTGCAGTTCTCACTTTGCCGCAATGCAACAATACATAAAAACTCAAAGCATCTTCATAAAAAATTGTAAAATACAGAAAAACCTAAAACACCAGATACAGTTAAAAAAGTTTTAAATATTTTCATAGTTAAAATTAGAGTATGTACACAAAAATAAACAATTCGGCCAACGAACAAGAAGGCAAAATTTTCGGTGCACAAACTGAGAGTTAAAGTTTGGTCCCACTGGAAAGAAAGACACTGAAGTTTGTGCACCAAAGAACTTAATTCATTATCCTTCTAAGAATGTCAAATGCACACAAATGGCGTCTTCATTAGGCTTAAATCAACACTTAAACATAAAATTCTTGATAATTCTACAATTATTGCATGCAGATTAACTATAGACATAAAGCCTTAACCAGAACATAAGAACAACTTAATTCAATCACTTTTAAAGGATTGAATTATATTGAACAGTTTACCAACTTAAAGAAGTGGTAAGTTTTCACTTCCTATAAGTGCACAGTTTATCAACTTATAAGAATAAAAACACAGTGTTCACCGAGCCGGGTAAGAAAGTGGGAGTATATATCGAGCGGCCGATTGCAACAAAAAGGGAGATGCACAACTGCATGCTCTAGCAGTTCCATGTACAAAATTTCAACAATCTGCGGCTAAACCTTTTTATGTTATGCGAGATATATACGTACATACTTGCATACGTTCAGATGTTACGAAAAAAATCTCTTCTGAATCCATTTTACAAACCGTTTTGAAAACAATGAGTCCTTTATTCTGTCTGTATAGATGTCACGCAGAAAAAGGGTGTCTAAATAGATTCGAGAGCGGTCAAAATGAATATTTTCTTTGAAATGTGACATTCGAAATTTTTCGCGATTGCAATACTTCCTCTACTTCGAACAAGGAAGTAAAAATTGTCTAGATCCGTAAATGTTCATGTTAGAGGGCGATGAAAAAATTTGCTTTGAATATAATTATTGTTAATTTTTCGATTAGTGCCACCGTTAGCAATCTCTTTCTCAAATGAGGTATGTCAAGCACCTGAAGTAACGGGAGGAAAAGGTTCATCGCTGGGAAAATTAACATACTTAAGCAAGGATCTTCAGACGGTGAGTCAGGCTGTTCTGATTTTACTGCTAATTTTAATAGAAAACAGCTTTGTAAGTTATAATGCAAACATAAAGAGTAAATTTATTTTTTACAGTTCATAGTTCCCAACGGTATCGTTGTGACCACATCGGCTTACCAAAGTTTTGTTACGAAACAGATCCTTGCTAAAATTGAAAAGCTGGAAGATGTCCTTTAGTAAGTATGTTTTGTATGCGAGAGGCTATTACTTATTGATTTTTCAAGGAGAAAAAGGCTGTAATCATAAAAATTTAATCGTATAATTTTCACCAATATAACTATTGAAATAAAGTATAATTTTTTTTTGTTTGTTCTCATAGACCATAGAGCATCACAAATAAAAGCATTTACATAACCAATTCTTATTCTAATTAACTGTAACACATCTAAAAAAATCTGATGTGTACACCACATGACTTCCATGTACGGAATATTAAATTATACGCATTTGTTTCTCGCATTTCTTTTAAACTTATTGGATTCAATTAAATCTACTTCGCCGACAGCGCATAAACCACAATAGAATAAAGGCATTCTTTAAAATTCACTCTATTTGTTTAACATAGCGACACTCTGGCACTAGGTTCACTTAACAGTATTATATTTCGTTCATATTATAACTCAGAATGCACAAAATGTATATCATTTAAAGAATTATCTAATCGTTGCCACATGTTCTTTTCAAATACTATAATAAGGCTAGAACGATGTAAAAAAGAAATTAAGTACACAAAATAAAAAAAGAAACAGTTTTTCACAGACAGACGATTGAGTATTTCTCATTCAATTAATTCAGTTTTCACTTCGCGACTAGACAAAAATACATAAAAGCTCAAAATATCTGTATTAAAAAAATTACTAAAATTAAATTATAATTAAAACTAATTATTAAAAATTAAGTAATCTTAAACACTTATTTCCCCGAAAAAATTCCAGAAAAGATTAAGCATGATTTAATTCGCAATAATAAATGAAGGCGTTATTTTTGTTGTTGCGAAGCTTAGTCTCTCCAGATTGGCAACAAATCTACAATTCTGCTGTTTCAAATGTAAACAAATATGTCCGCCATGTTATTTAAAACTTAACCGCACTTAAACAGCTTTTAAATTGTTGATAATTGTACAAATATTGCTTCCAGAATTACGAAAGGCATAAAAACCTTAACCCGAAGATAAGAACAACATAATTCAATCATTTTTAAAGCAAACAATGTACAATTTACAAACATATAAGAGTAAAGAAACTGAGATCACTGAGCCGGGTAACCGAGTGGATATATATATAAATATATTTATATACGTTTGGTGCGGCCGATTGCAACCGAAAATACGAGGTGCACATCTACATGTTTATAGCAGTCCTATATACAAAAAATTTCAACGTTTCTGAGGCTACTCGTTTTTGAGTTATGCGAGATACGTACGTAACACGTTCGTACAGACGCCACGAAAAATTCTCTTCAGAATTCATTTTAAAGCAGTTTTATAATTTTTTTGAAAGGAAAAGAGTATTTTATTTGTCCTTACGTACAGATATCACGCAAAAACATCGTTAAATTGCATTCGATAGCGGTCAAAATGGATATTTTCGTTGAAATATGCTGCCTGAACCTTTTCGCGATTACAATACTTCCTTTTTACTTCGTACAAGGAAGTAAAAATTATGACACTAATTTTCATATTGATAAATTATGTTTTAACATCGTAAATATAATAGGAGTTGTATTGCAGAAATTATGGTTTCACTGTTAATATCTTTCATTTGCAGTTCCTTGCTTTACTAAACTGAAAGGCCCCGCAGTACTTCTGAGTAAAAATTTTCATCAATGAAGGCATATCACTTGAGTTAACTAGTGTGTTTGTTGTGCAAAAGTGGCAAAGGGAAGCTATGGTAGTAACTTGAAAATCCACGGTTCCGTGCAAAATGTAATTAGTTTACGTGAGTCGGACATTACATAATTAAAAAATATAAAATAATAATAATATAATGTTACGAATTTTATTGAAACTGAATAAATGTAATTGACCACTATATTAGCTGTAACCGTAATTCGTTCTCTTATTGCTCTTCAGAAATCTCGAGAAGCAGAAAGTACTAGAAATTTCTCGCGACCGGTTGAAAACTATAAAAGGTCGGAGAGGGAGAGCCTGAGTTTAGTTGCTTAGTTACTGTTGGAGTTGTTATATTCGCTTGAAATGAGAAATCCGAATTAGCTTTCTCTTTAGATACGCTTTGCACTGCGTCGTGTTTTAACATGTTTAGTAGTTTGAAGTATAACTACTGATTATACTGCGTGATATTGTGAACACTTGTACGAATATCTCTGAGGAAAATTCCAGTGTTCTAATATATTTCTTTTGATAAGAATAAACTTTATTTACCTATTATCGGACTTGTACATTCAATCTATTACGAACCAGCACGCACGCAACAGTATTAAAAATTACACTCAGTCATAAAATGAGAGCCTTCAACATTATCTTATATGAGGAACGCAATAAGAGCAGTTACACAGAGGTAATAATAGGTCTCTGTTACTGAACCAGCACTCTCTCAATATAACGTCGTCTTATATTTTTTCCTATTTCTGCTTAATTAATTTTTATGATGAGCAAGTACTTGGTATAGGTATATTGGTTGGTATAATAGGTCTCTGTTACTGAACCAGCACTCTCTCAATATAACGTCGTCTTATATTTTTATCAACATTATCTTATATGAGGAACGCAATAAGAGCAGTTACACAGAGGTAATAATAGGTCTCTGTTACTGAACCAGCACTCTCTCAATATAACGTCGTCTTATATTTTTTCCTATTTCTGCTTAATTAATTTTTATGATGAGCAAGTAGTTGGTATAGCAAAGGCACTTCTTATTCTGGGAAAGGCCACCGGTATTCTTCTTCAAGATTCGTAGCCCATTCCTTACCATAATGTAATAGAATCCAAATGCTCAAAAGAACAAGGAAGCGAGGCAACGTTGTAACAAATTTAGTGTTAACCAGGTTGCACCACGAGGAGGCCTGTCACGTTACACCATCTGACTCTTAACTCTGCAAAACTCCTAATTAAATTAGAATTTAAGAGTGTAACCAATCCCTTAACATAAACTGTTGGACTAACTGTGACAACAAGGCTGCCCTCTGGTGATTAGCCAGAGAAGTATTTCAGTGAAAGCCAAGGCTCCCACTTGATAGGTTGTACCAGACTGCTGCTCTGTAATTTTTCTTAAAGTTAAATGTAATGTCCGTGTGTAACTTAAATCTGTTAATAAATATTTGTTACACTATACTGGACTCTTCTATGACCCTATCTAAAACGACCCCTTTACAAGAGGAGATTTGCCTCCTACCTATCAAATGAAGCTAAAGGAAAGGTCTGGAAGTGCCTGGCTAATTCAAAGTCAATTATTCCAGATTTTCCTCGTCTTGCAACCGTGGCGTTATTTCGCTTTTGACTGGGCACGGTTATCTGAATGCCCATCTTTTTAAAATTGGTCTTAAGGCCCATGTTTTTAAAATTTTTTGCTTCTCGAGATTTCTGGAAAGGAAAAAAAGTAGAATTACGGTTACAGCTAACATAGTAGTCAGTTACATTTATTCTGTACTCTTTGTAACTCTGGATAGTCCATGGATAAGGAGCATATTGACGAAGGCACTGCACCTATTATCTTTTAATTCTATTGTTCTTAAGTACTAGGAAAAGGATCAAGGTCAAATGTCTTAGTGGCCAAATATCAAAGTGGCCAAGTTTGTATTGTAAAATTGTTGCGTGCTTACGGATTCGTAAGAAACTGAATGCACAAATCCGATAAAAGGTTAATAAAATTTATTCTTATCATAAGAAATATAACAAAACGCTGGAATTTTCCTCAGAATTATTCGTACAATATCACGCAATATAATCAGTAACTATACTTTAAACTACCAAAACGTTAAATAGAACGCAATCCACAGCGCACAGAAAACTAATCCGATCAACAATAACGACAGCAGCTGACTAAACAACTGAGTTCAGATGTTCTCTGCATCTGAACTCAGCATCATCTGCATCATCTCTGCATCTGAACCTGGCGTTTTTATCGCTTTAAATCAGTTGCGAGAGATTCTAGTAATTTCTGCTTCTCGAGATTTCTGGAGAGTCAAAAGAGTAGAATTACGGTTACAGCTGACATAGTAGTCAGTTACATTTATTCAAATTAAATATAAATTACCGAGATTACCCTTTATTCAATGTTAAGTGCACTTAATCTTCTATTTTTTACTTTTCCGGCGTAGCTTTCTCTTAAAATTTGTCACGGGCTGTATTGCACGGGGAAATAAAACAATTTTAATTATAATTCTACGAAAAATATCTAACTAAATACAAAATTGGTAACAGTAATAAATAAAATAAATAACAAAGGCACTCCGAAAAAATTAATACTTGGATCCTTGGGTTCTTAATTTGTATGAATTCAAAATCAAAGCACCTCATAGTAGTGTCTAAATACGAACTAGTACTTTTACTGCAGTTTTCATTTTCTCATGGTCTATATAAAACATATGTTACCGTGAAAGACCGAAATTGGAGAATGTCGACTTTCATCGGAGAATATCAACATTCACCAAATACGTCGGTGAAAGACCGAATATTTCACTACATTCGTGTATATTCGAACTCTCACCGGTGTATGTCGACAATCACAGATATGCTCTGGTGAAAGTCGAAAAGAGAGGTCATAAAGTGCAATAATAGTTTAAGTTGTTGCAATAAATAAGATTTGAATCACATAATTTAGTAAGTTTTTTATGACTGTTATTTTATTTTCTCATTTAGAACGTACTGTATAATTAAGTAAGTTTTTAACTTCTATTATTTTCCTTTCTCATTTTGAATGTATTGTGTGTTTTAGGTTCTCATGTTCTTAAGTTCTTATTTCAAGTTTCAAGTGCGTTTATTCGCGACTGAATGACGGAGAAAAAAATGTAATATTGTTATATGTTCAACATTCACCATTAATACATGGTGAATGTCGACATTGACCGGTGTAAGTCAGAAATAAGAGTATTTGGAAAATATTTCGGACATACACCAAGAGACTATGTGAATGTTGACATTCACCTGGGAAAGTCGACATTCTCCAGATTTCGGTGTTTCACCGTAACATATATATATGTGCCAAGTTTAACGACGTATGTCAGCGAGAACAGATTCTAATAAATCCGAGTAGAATCATTTTAATTATAAAAATACTCAATAATTCAAATGATTTTTTAGCTCAACAGTTGACAAACACTGACCTATGCACTTTGGTTCATATCTTTAAATCGTTTATTGGCATGAAATCAGAACAAACCTCTAACTTTCTAATTCTTCTTTTTATTTTTTCTTTGTTTAAATAGTGGTAAAACTGAAGGAAATGTCAAAAAAGTTTGTGAAAGGTAATCATACTTTTCATTAGTAAGTCGTTTAAATAATAGCTAGTTCTTTCTCTTAACAGTATTCATCTGACATAACACAACTTTCTTCGCTTGATTTTAGCCTATGCTCAGATATTACGATAACCGAGTTTCCTCGAGAAACCCGGGAAGCCATTGAAGTATGTTTAAAAAAGACTTTCGGAGGAAACTTCCAGTCCCGAAAATTTGCCATTCGATCTTCTGCCACTGGTAATGTCATTTGCTTGGGTTTCCTCGAATATTATATCTTATAATAATGTATAATAAGATGGTTTTATTAGGATTAATTCAAATTTTGTTCGCTGAATTCAGGCGAAGACACAGAACAAATGTCTGCTGCTGGTCAAATGGATACCTTCTTGGGCATCTCAGGGCTAAAGGAGGTAAGAATTAACTTTGTGTTAGTTTCATAATGTGTTTAATTTGTAAGTTGTAAGGTTTATCCTAAGTTTTTAACAGTTATCTTTAGTTAAAGCTATTTTCCTGTCCCTCCTAAATTCAGGTTACTTGCGCCGGATCCCGGCTCTTGTACGTCTTAATTTTTAAGATAAATTACAATTTTAGCCGGAGCGCACTGGAGCCCTAAATAAGATGAGCTCCGGTACTTCTTTTTGTAAAACAACCACAATTTAAAGAGAAAAAAATTTAGAATTCGTAACGTTTTAGTTTAACAATAAGCAGACTTTGCAATACTCTATTTCCCTAGAAATACGAACATATGAGAACATCAGACGTTCAAGTAAAGTCCCCTCACTCACATGCGGAAACCTTTTCCTTTAAGAAGGGCAATAAATTTGGGGGAGTTTGTTTAGGAACGCGTAAACTTCTCGCCATGCCATCGTATCGAGTGTATTGTTATCGAGGCTTACAGTTAGTTATCCTCGCAGGAAGGAAAATTTGTGTTCGTAAATGTGCTTGAAGTGGAAGCGAGTACAATAAGAGTGAAATATTGAGATAAAGTGCTCAAGCACGTCCTATACATCGTATACACAGTATCCACTAATAGCGGGGAAAGCGTAACCAGCAACTTTACATTCATCCTTAGGAGTCAGATTCAGGACTCATTTAACCCCTGACACACATCTGCTTGATGGCTTTAATTATATCAGCAGAAAGCCGCGGTCAAAGAGAACGTTCTCTCTCAGCAAGATTCCCCTCATTTTTGTTTGTTTCCACCCACTCATACACTCATTCTGTTTCGCCCTGGAATTTTCATCAGCTACAAGTATATTTAATTGTTGTGATGATAAAAGAATTTCCTCCCCCCCCCCTTACGATCAGAGCTTAAAATGGGCCGGAACCCACCGGATCTCGGCTCCGGTGCTTCTTAGTTTTTGTAATAAATCATAATTCTTGCCGGAACGCACCGGAGCCCTGAATAAGAAGGCTGCGGCACTTCTTTTATGTAACTGAATAACACTTTCAGTAGAAATTTTATTTTGACAATAAAATTATATTAAAAATCGCTTATTAAATTTCAGTTTATATCCTTACATTTTATTTAATTTTAATTATTTAATTACTTCAATCTTTAAATATTCCAATATGGTGTTGGTGTATTTAATTATGGCAAAGCACACGAGGGCTATCTGCCTAAGAGGAGGGATGCCTTCGTGGAGGACTTTCTAAGGGAAACTGGCTCGTATACACGTTACACATGGGGAAAACCACGAAAACGCCCATACAGCCAGCCCGTTCGCGGGATTCGAACCTCGGACCGAACTACCAGTGTTCAGCGACGTTACCGCTCGGCCGCTGGTGGGCCTAAATATTCCAATAAATAATAACTAATTATCTAATAATTATCAATGAAATAAGTGTCAATTAAATTATAATTAATTAATTATCTAATAATTATCAATTAAATTATAATTAATTAATTATCTAATAATCATCAGTTAAACTATAATTAGTTATATAATAATTACTGATTAAATAACAATTTATAAACATTAATTAAATAGCTATTAATTAATTTGATAATAATTAACTATTTAATTTTAAAATTATTAATGAGTTTAATAGTCATTTTATTTATTTACTTACTCTTGTTCCTCTTTGCTGACGGTCTTCCATAGGGCTCCGGCACTTCTAATCTTAGAAATTAAACCCTGAGAGAGAATTTCCCACCAGAATGTGGTTTTAGAATCGCGTTTAATGCAAATGAGCAAGAACGGTATTTAAGTCGAAGTTCCACTGACTTCCAGAGAGATCCTCAGAGTTTCTGACTAGCGCGCGTTCGACTTTTGACTACGTCTTTTTAAGCTGTTACAACGCTCGGCCTTATTTCAAACCTTTGATGGCTTCGTTAACTTATTCGATATTTAGGAGGCAACTACTTGGAATTTTGGTAGCTTCAACTATATCTTTTAAGTTAAGATTAGATAAGTCTTATTTCTTATTACTTTGTCTTCAAGCCCAAGTGGAGGCTTTGCTGTACGCCCTGAGAAAGTGGCCGATTTTTTTGATTCTTATTTTGATAAACAAAGAGTAATTAACCCTTCTTGAGTTTACGTCTCTGTTCCTGAAGTACAGCGATTATTCGCGTAACTGTTCACGAGGTTCCTACACATTTAGCTGTTATAGAAAAAGGTGGAACCCCACAAAGTAATTACGCCCTATCTTATATGCGTATAAAGTTGAGTCTAAAAAGAATCTGAAGTGGACACCACATGGCCTCCGTGTACTATGAAAACACAGTTTTTGTTGCACTATAGAGTTCTTCACTTTTATCCTGTTAAATGAAATGTCGAGGAACTTACTGAAGTATTAAGCAATAATCACTTGTTTCAAAGAATAGAACTGGAAAACTCAAGAAGGGTTAATTACCCTTTATTTGCTTCAAAATAAGATTAACAGTCTTCTCAATAAGTACGAAATAACTAACTAACTAATGACCAACTAAGAGATTTAGCCGAAGCTAACACAATTCTAAAGTAGTTGACCCGTAATCTTAAATTAGCCGGCGAACTATCAAAAGGCACATAATACGGCCGAGCGTAACAACTGATTAGAGAAACGTATCCGAAAGACAAACGCGCACTACTCAGGAACCCTAACTGTCTCTGTCAAAGTCAGGTGAACTTGTTTTAAATACTATTCTCATCCTCATTTGCATTCAACGCAATTCTGAAAACTTATTCTGGTAGAGAGTTCTGGTAGGGTAAGTTGAAGCGAGATAAGACAGGAAAGGTTCACTAAATTAAAATATATATTACAGCACTTCATGTAAACTTATTCCCTCGAATGATTCTAACTGAATGAACCAATCCATCCAGGCAAGTTGAAAAGATCATTAAAAATTGCAAATAAAAAAATAAAAAATATATGCCATTAATTTGCCGTATGAAAGTCAAACTTCTTATAATTTTATTTTTTCATGACGAGTATAAAATGTCCCCAAATATAAATATAGCAATTGGAAGACCGCATTCAAAGTTAGATTTTGTTGTTTGTCCAAATTTCTTTTTTTAATTTGACATTGCCAAAACAAGAATATTTTCGTCATTTAAAACATGTCATTGGAAGTAGTATATGACTACGATCAACGATTGCGAAAATAAAGTCTGGGTAAGGACTCTTAAGCTGGTTGAGGGATGTGGGTATATGCTATATGATATGATAAGTTGTTTTTAATGTGCAGTAATTATCATATCCACTTGAAATAAAAGCTTGCTGCTTAAAAACCTTTCTTTAATTGTATTTTATTATGTAACGAATGGTATTTTAAATAAAAGCTTGCTGTCTAAAACCCTTTTATTAATTGTGTTTTATTATGTAACTAATGGTATTTCTTTTCATGTAATGAAAATAAATAAAACTGCATTGTTTTTAAGAAAACTTTTATTCCGATAACACTAACTTTCAATACTTGAGATTAATTTGTGGAGACATTAGGTATATTTTTGGAAGCAGGCAGTATGAAAATTGAGCAATCAATTCGCCGGGAATCGAACCACGGACCTCTGGAATACCGGCCCAGTGTGCAGAACCACTACACCACGAAGGCACGCTAGGAAGGCGGGGAGAAATACTTTATATACTCCCCCCTTCTAAAGGGCGACTCGGGTTTTTAGGGGACCAATCGGCAAATCCTGGGTACGGAGAATCATCATCCAACACCCTTTTAGTTCGGGCGCCACTGTAGAGACATTAGATATTTTTGTAAGCAAAAGAGATGAAAAATTAGCAAAGCCTTCGCCGGGAATCAAACCACGGACCTCTGAAATAACGGCTCAGTGTGCTGACCACTACACCACGAAGGCACTCTAGGAAGGCGGGAAAAATACCTTACATACTCCCCCTTCTAAAGGGCGACTGGGGTTTATTGGGGACCCAATCGCCAAATCCTGGGTGAGGAGAATCATCATCCAACACCCTTCTAGTTCGGGCACCACTGTAGAGACATTAGGTATATTTTTATAGCAGGAGTGATGGAAAATCAGCAGTCGCCTTCGCCGGGAATCGAACCACGGACCTCTGGATACCGGCCCAGTGTGCAGAATCACTACACAACGAAGGCACGCTAGGAAGGCGGGAAAAATGCCTTATAAATTTATTCGTAAGAATCATGTTCATTAGTATCTGAGAAATAAACAAATGATATTTTATTTGCTTCTTAAGATAACTATATAAAACAAGTAAGAATGCTTTTATTAAATTTATTACATCTCTGTACAATTCTGCAATAACTTTTGCGTTTTATATATTGGTCATTGTTTACTCACTTAATACAAAAATATTTCTTTCTTTTAAGATTCTGCAAGCAGTCAAAAAGTGTTGGGCTTCACAGTTTGGATACATCGCAATTCAGTATAAAAGGTTTGTATTAAGCTGGAACTTTTAATCTATTTTATGAAGGTTATGTATCTGACCTGTTTAAATACAAACATGGAAGACAATCAGCCTTTTAGTATTTCATGCCTTAATAAACTAATTCTGTAACAGCTATTTTAATAAAAATGTACACAAAGTTTGACCTTAGATTGACATTGGTCCTGTGTAGGACTCTTGCGTACCTTGTACAAAAGAAAGAGGATGACAGTTCTATATCACCCGTTGTACATTTAATAATTTAAATTGACAAAATTTAACTTGCGATTATCGAATTTCGAAAACGCGACTTAGGATATGTATTAGACTTATATAGCATTGTCTTAACATAGGTATTCCGACACAAAATCGGAATTTTTCTGAAATGACTTATTCCCCACCCACCCACATTTTGATTCTACGATTCAAATTAGGCGAAAGTGCCAAGTTTTGTAAAAAATCGCACGGGCAATTTTTTAAAAATTAGTTCTTAAAATTTCAGCTCCTCGACGTTAATTGGTATGTATCTTGGAATTTGGTATGTACTATCTTTTTTTTTTCATTAAACTTACTTGATTCCTTCTCTCACATTTCGAAATTTAAGTTCAATCCAAATAAAATTCGGAGCAAGTTTCTGATTTGTTTTTAAAATTTGCATTTTATTTAAGTTATTTTTATAATTTTTTCCAATTTTTTTTAAATTCCTAAAATTAAATTTTTTTTGTAAATTTGTAATAAAATGTTTGTCACCTTTTTAAAGTAAATGCATTTGTAAGGTTTTACAACCCTACAAATAGGTTTTACAACCTTACAAATTTGTAAGGGTTTACAACCTTACACCTGCAAAATATTAGAACTTTATTATCATTCAAACTTTTCAAAGACATACGTGAATTGATATATTAGCGCGTTCTGAAATTTAGCATATTTATTATAGGCGATAATAATGCTAAATGTGCTTTCCGCACTTTGTTAAAATTTGAAAGAATGAAAAATGCAACTTTTTTCCCGTTGTGCGCAGTGAAAAAAAAAATGGAAAAGGAAAATAGGTTACTATAAAATAAGAATTTCGCCAAGTGAATTATTCTTGGCCCAGACCTGTAGACTTATTATTTGTAAGCAGAATTTCGTCTGCATCGACTTTTAAATTTATTCTGCTTTCAAAATGTCGCATGTGAACAAGTTGTGGTTTGAAAGATATTTTTTTACGCTTTCCAAAGAGAAATATTGCTGTTACATAGCTAAAAAAACTTTGTGAAATGCGGGGATTAAAATTTACAACATCAAATGTAGCAACATTATTAATCGGAAAGGGAAAAACCGCCCATCATTACTTCTACATGGAAAGACGACTCCAAACGAATACACGCAAAAGGATTATGTACTTTTCTAAAGTTAAATAATTGCTAACAAGTAATAAAATCCTTCGATGCAAAAATTAATTGCAAAATATTTAAATAAAATAATAAACCAAGATTTTTTCCCCAGTGCCAGGCACTTACCTATACCGGCATCGGCCACTCCCAGGGCCAGATGCAGTGGTCTGTTTATCATGGAGGTACCTAATAGGTGAGCCACCTTTGCCTCCTATGAAGGGACAGACAATTTTTGCATCCATGCCTTCTCGGGGATTCGAACCCGAGTTCTTCGGTATCTTAGTCAGGCTCCCCTAACCACTATACCGTCTGAGCGGCATAAACCAAGATTTAAAACCTATAAAGGATAATATTCTTCAGCTTTTAGGCATGTGGCCCGATGCAGAGCAGTTTGTAGAACCCTGTATGAAATTTCTTTAGCAGGCGATAAATGGAAATGTAGTGTGGCCTCAATGAAACATGGGTTTACCTAAATGACTAGAATGAAAAAAGTATTTATTATCCAAAACGCTTTGAACAAAAACCCTTTAGAAGAGAAATCGATAACGAAGAGAACAAAATGTATAAACCTGAAACAATGCAAAGAAAGCTTCAGTAAGAGTTTATGATTGTTGGAGGATTCTCTTACAATGGGAAATTAAAAATAAAAAAATATACAAATCAACGCAGCGTACTATTAAGAGAAAGTTTTATAAGTGTGAACCTTCATCAATACAAAGCCAGGAGTCATACTGTAAGGATCTTAAGTTTTACTAACGTTTATTTTATTTTAAATCTTTACTATCACTTCTTATTTTCTACTTCCGGCCAGAATTATAAGCGTGAAGGTTTTTATGCAAAGTTTGTCTGGCGAACGCCAAGTATTTAAGTGTGGCCTTTTTGCCAAGCGAAAGAGAGGAAGCAGTGAGTTCGAAGCAGGCCGTTTACCTTAGAAGTTACGCAGTTGCTGTTTGCCTTCCAGGCCAGAGGTTTTAATCCTCTTGATAAATTAAACGTATTGTAGTGTTCACACAGTCTCTGTGCTACATACGCTTCCTGTTATTATAAGGCCAATCTTCCACGTGTATTATTCTAAAGTTAAATTAGAGTTTAGTTTTATTTTTATACTTTTACGTTAGACCCCGAGTGGAGGGTCATTGTATTCCGAAGTACGGAAGTCATTGTATATAGAGAAAAATAAAGGGTTTTGTATACCCTTCGTCTGTATCCTGTCTACTTACTACAATTAGTGAACATAGCTTTAGTAAGCTCTCTGTTCCTAGTCAGGTCCTTGTATGTTCCCGAAGAAGGTTAGAAGGAACATTGAACCTGATAATACTTCAAAAAGGACCACTGCATTCCTTGAAAAAATACTATATACCTTTACAACATATTCCTGCGAAATCTTCTGGCTGTTCACTTATGGACTACTGGGCCCCTAGGTCTCTCGAAAAAAAGCTCTTTTTAGGCATAAACCCGCCACAATATATGGACTCTGAACGGTCCCGGAAGAGGAATGGAAACCAATATACTGGATTTTTACGAAGAGCCCGTCTATCATAAAAATCAGAATGCAGACTCATACTCCAGAAAAAAGGCTATCTGGTCAAACATTTAAAAAACGCGCTTTACATTTTAAACCTCAATTAAACGGTTCCAAAATGGTTTTTAAAATGAGTAAACATCCTGTGCATTTTACAACAAAGTATTGGTTTTGTGACGAGGTCACATTGAATTAATTATTTACTACGTTATGGCAATATTTAGATACGAGTATTTGCATCAGATTCCTTTGGTGACAGTTTCATTTTTTTCGCCAACTTGTGTTGTAAGGTGAGGAACAGATTTCATCAGACAACTGTTGTAAGCGGAGGAAAGTATAGCGTCTTCACTTCTGTTTGCCTCGGTAGCTGAAGGTATTTTGCGATTGGTTGCCTTCTGACGCTGGATTTTTTTTTTTTTTTCCATTGGCAGTAAAACTTAACTGTGGAACTTTATAAAAGGCGGTATTTTTTGTCCACGAGGTGGAAGGAGAAGGAGGAGATTGTGAAAGTGCGGGATGGAGATGCTGCATAGAGAAAGACAGTAAGAGTGGGGTAAAAATGCAAACTTTTGGGAGTTTATCGTGCAAGATTTCTTTGGTCTCCCAGTGTGTATGAAGGAAGCGAGTTTCTTTCTCTTTGGTGTTGTAGCTGCAAAATTTAAGCTAATCTCCTTTTTTTCTCGGGCTTGGCATTTTCGCCCAGTATTCCAATGAAGAGTACCTGCATGTGTTTGAGCTGAAATATACCAAGTCTTCGAAGGGCTGTGTGGAAGGATTGATCTATCCTTTTTTTTGTTCTGAGTGAGGAGGCCTCATATCTTCATGTGACATACCGGATTAAAAAAATGGAATATCTCTTCAGTATTGTTAGTATCCAATAAAGCAAGAATTAAATCTGTTTTCACGTGTTTGTCACTCTCTCGTCACGGCGGGCTATAGACCTGGATCTTGTCCTGGGGTAAGTTGTCACTATATTCCTGTTTATCATAACATGTGACATATACTTTTGCCACCACAATCAACGAAAGAATCATTACCACAGGTTTCTTTTAACATCGTTCTTTCTATGTTTATTCAAAGAAAAATGTATTTAGTCATTTCATTTTCAATTGCAGGCGTTACGGTCAATATCTGAATTCTCCCATGGCTGTGGTCATTCAGGAGATGGTGGCCTGCGATGTTGCCGGGGTTCTTTTTACTTGTGATCCTTTGACGGGGAATCCAACGGTTATGACTATAACCGCCAACTATGGTTTAGGAGAGGTACGTGTCCAATATTCATCATCTGATGTTAGAGGACTTACAAAGGGATTATAAGTATTAATTATCATATCGTTATACACTGACTACCAATAAGTATTTGGACCTTTCGGATGGCAGGGTCTGGGTCTGGCGTCTACCTGGAGAACGTCTCCTGCCAGAATGAATTGTGCCAACAGTCAAGTTCGGCGGAGGTGGAATTATGGTCTGGGGGGTGTTTCTCATAGTATGTGCTGGGAGCCTTGGTCCCCATTCATGGTAAGCTCAACTCCGATGCCTACTGCACTATTTTGGATGACAATGTGCTTCCTACGTTGTGGCAGTTTTACGGGTCGGATCCCTGTTACTTTCAGGACGACAATGCCAGTTGTCATGTTTCAACTTTAACCTTTTGAAGACGGGATGGCCATTATAGTGGCCATAGAGACCTCTCTTTGAAAAGATGGGGTTGTCCACTTTAGTGGCCATGTCTTTTTTCCCTATTTTCCAGGCTGAAAAGTGGGGTGAAATATCAAATTTGACGTCCCTAGGGTTTTAACCCCTTATCTCTTTCAAAGGTCTTTCTTTTGCGACATAGATGCACCCCTCTAAGAATCCATTAAACTACACACAAGAATCTTTGTTGCAAATAGGAGGTGATTTCTTAAACGGGGGAAAGCATTCGGTTCAAGATTTCCCGTCCTTTGGTAGCTTTTACTGCTTCCAAAGTCCCGGCCTCAAAAGGTTAAACCAAGGCTTGGTATGGGGCCAATGGAGTTCATCGAATGCACTGGCCTGCCCAGAGTCCAGACCTGAACCCTATCGAGAACCTCTGGAACGAGTTGCATCGCCGAATTCAGGGGTGCACTACCCGTGCAAAATCGGTGAAGGAACTTCTATGTCTTCTCCAAGCCGAGTGGAAGAAAATACCACTAGCTGTCATACAAAGACTTGTGGAAAGTATGCCCCGGAGGGTTCATGCTGTAATTACCTCTCGTGGAGACTCTAAACTGTTGATTTTGAATAAAGTTAGTTTTTCTTTTCTACCATAGGTGTCCAAATACTTATTGGTAGTCAGTGTATTAATGAATCCCAAAGTATAATTTATAAAGGACTGAAATTATCCTTAACTTCCTACTTACCGACGTTACACTAGGGATAACGTCTACGGTTAATTTAAAAATTACAGTTACCCCAACCGGTAGCTTTACAAGGGAAAAAAATAAAAAGGGCATTATAATGGAGAAAGTGCTATTAAAATTTTCTCTGTATTTTCAGCCAGTTCGTAACCGAATGAACTTATTCTTTATATTAATAAGTTCTTTCGGTTACGTAATTCAAATCAGTGTTCGAGATAAAAGGAAACCACATTGCAAGACAAAAGAAAAACACAACAAGACGAGTAAACACTGTAGATTCATTAGAATTTTTTTGAAGCAAAAAAGGTGAAAAATGAGCAATGCCCTTGCCAGAACTCGAACCTGGACCTCTCGAATACGAGTGAGCTACCGTTATACCCCGAAGGCATATTGGAAGGAGGATGAAAATATCTTATATATCTGTATTAAAGGGAGAGTGGGGATTAGGAAACCTACTCGCCAAGTCCTGGAGGTGATGAATTATCGTCCACCACCTCGGTGCCACTGTCTCGTACTCCTTGGTAGCATAAATTAACGAGTTTTAGAAAGAATGTAGAGGAATTATCTTCGGATCGTAGCAGCAGACAGTCAGAGTCAGAAGAAGGGTGTAAATGACCCTCTATTCAATCACAAAGAGTTCGCAGACAACCCCAATCAGGCTTACGTGAGCCAACACTTTTGGCTTTAACTTAAGCAATTAATACTGAACTTAAAATAAATAGAATTAAACAAGCCAAACGGCTCACAGGATAACTTAATCGCGCGGGAAGGCTGACTCGTAGAAGCCGACGGAACAAGCCTAATGACTAGAAGCACTCTACGCCCCAATATCAAATCCTAGTTAAGTCAAAGTAACAACGTGACCTACAAGCAGGCATAACACGCTGTGAAAACAAGTTCCGAAACATCTTCGCTTAAACGGCACTTATTATTATTTCTGCCTTAATCCTGATTATATGCACGCTAACTGTTTATATTCTGGCAGGAAAGTGTGGGTCAAAAGGAGAGTGACAGAAAAGTTGCTTTAACTAAAAATTAACTATTAGTAAACACAAATAAATAAATCTCACAACATCATTAATGAAATGAATAAACTAAATTATGAATAGCATGAAAAAGCACTATTTACAAAAGAACTTAAAGTTGTAGAGATATTAGGTTATTTCGAAGCAGGAAACATGAAAATTGAGCAATGTTCTCGCGGGGACTAGAAACTTGGACCTCTCGAATACGCGCAGAGCGTGCTGAGCATGAAACCACAAAAAGCATGGTAAGAAGGCGGGAGAATTACCTTATATACTCCCCCTTTAAGAGCGACTGAAGATTAGGGGATCTAGTTGCCAAAACCTGGTGGTGGAAAATCACCACTCACCCCCTTTTTTTTAGTTCGGGCGTCATTGTAGAGCCATTTTAGAATTTTTCGAAATAAGGAAATCGAAGAAATCAGCAATGCTCTCGTCGGGACTCGAATCTCGGACCTATCGAATACGCGCCCAGCGTGCTGACCATTACACCACGAAGGCATGCCAAGAAGAAGGCGGGAGAAATACCTTATAAAGTCATTGAGTTCCTTGAGTAAATATCATCAGAAATGAATAAAATAAAATGAAATATTGAAGAGTCATTAAGGTTTCTGTTGCTGGAGACGTGAAAAAGGTGCAATGTCCTCGCCGGGATTCGAACTTCGGTACAAGAGCTTCTGTCACTAACAGCTATATAGGTTGGCGACTTACTACATATTGTAAAAATAATACAATTCAGCTTCGAAACCAGTACGCAGATATCATCTGTTAAAATGTGCATACATTTATCTAATGGACTTTGAAACTAAAGGGTCCGTTAATACGCTCTAATGACACTTACATTCTCGACGTATTTTACACATTTGGATCCCTGAGTCGTTGTCCATTACAACTTAAACTATACCATATAAATCAAAAACTAACTATATCTATTATTTTTGTCTAACTGGCTATAACTGTAAAAGGATTTTGTTTGAGATTACGTTTCTGATGTTTTACAGTCCGTGGTATCAGGCTCCGAAGAACCGGACACAATCGAGCTTCAGAGAGATCCCGAAGACCATCTATCTATCAAGAGCACGAGCATTGGAGCAAAAAGTAGGAAAATTATTGTAAAAGGTGAGTTGATCTGATAAAAAATTTCAAACTCAAGATACCCTTCTTTTTAGAAAAAAATTATCAAGTTCAATGATTTAATTCTGCTTATTGTGTTTCAAGAAGGAGTACTAAATCTGATTGTGAAATAGAAAAAATCTGATGTGTACACCACATGACTTCCTTGTACGGAATATTAAATTATACGCATTTTTTCTTATTATAAACTTATTAGATTGAATTAAACCTATTTCGCCAACAGCGCATAAACCACAATAGAATAAATGCATTCTTTAAAATTCACTTTGTTTACCATAGCGACACTCTGGCACTAGGTTTACTTAACAGTATTATATTTCATTCATATTATAACTCAGAATGCACAAAATGTATATCATTTAAAGAATTATCGAATCGTTGCCACATGTTCTGTTCAAATACTATAATAAAGCTAGAACTATGTATAAAAGAAATTAAGCAAACAAAACAAAAAAGAAACAGTTTTTCATAGACGATTGAGTATTTCTCATTCAATTAATTCAGTTCTCACTTCGCGAGAAGGCAAAAATACATAAAAAACTCAAAATATCTATATAAAATTACGAAGTAAATCTCAAACAAACGCTTATTTCCTCGAAAAAATTCCAGAAAGAATTAAGCATGATTTAATTGGCAATAATAAATGAATGCATTATCTTTGCGAAGCTAAGTTTCTCTAGATTGGCAACAAATCCACTAGTCTCCTGTTTCAAATGTAAACATCAATGGCCGGCATTAAAAACAGGCTTAGCGGCAATTAAACAATTTTAAAATTGCTGATAATTCTAAAAATATTGCACACAGATTTACTAAAGGCATAAAATCCTTAACCGGAAGTTAAAAACAACACAATTCAATCATTTTTAAAGCAAAACATGTACAATTTACAAACATATAAGTGTAAAGAAACTGAGATCACTGAGCCGGGTAATAGAGTAATATCTATTGAGCAACCAAAATACGATGTGCACTCTGCATGTTTATAGCAGTCCTATATACAAAATTTCAACGTTCTGAGGCTACTCGTTTTTGAGTTATGCGAGATACGTACGTACGCACGCACGTACGTACATACGTTCGTACAGACGCCACGAAAAAAATTCTCTTCAGAATTAATTTTAAAGCAGTTTTTATAATTTTTTGAAGGAAAAGAGTATTTTATTTTGTCCTTACGTACAGATATCACGCAAAAACATCGTTAAATTGCATTCGATAGCGGTCAAAATGGATATTTTCGTTGAAATATGCTGCCTGAAACTTTTCGCGATTACAATACTTCCTTTTTACTTCGTACAAGGAAGTAAACATAAATTTTTGAATAAAGCTAAATATATCGGTTTTGTAAGAACTAATTTTTTTTTTCTTATCACTTTAAAATTAAATTTTAAAGTTAACTTGGTATTATATGATGCTGTTCCATGATTAATATTAATGAAAATAATTTTGATAAGAATATGAGACCGAAGGCTTGATAATGATGTACAAATGACGTAATAAAATTTTAATATAAAAATTACAATATCGGTTACGTTACCATTAGTTCATTCTCTAATGTTATTTTAATATTATTACTATAACACATCTATATACATTCTTGAAATTATGAAAATTTAAAAATAAAATAATTAATTACTGAAAATTATGGAAACAAAACAAAACAAAATTTTGCTTATGTATATATCGGTGTACTAAATAACGGATTCTACATAGTATTATAGAAACGGAAAGAAGTATTCTTCTGACTAATTGTAGCTCAAATGTAGCATTTTGCTATGGAATTCTGATTTATTTTTAACCTCTCTGAATATATTTTTTGAAGAAAAGCAGCTTATATGCCTTCTTTGTAGTTCCTGTAATTCAAAGTTATCTACTATCTTTTAGCGGCTTCAAGTTTCTTCTTTGACCGACTTCATTGCTTAGTTATCTTTAAAACAGAAATATTTTATATTGAAATTTTTTGTCTTCTTTCAGTACGTGAAAGTTTTATCAGTAAAAAATTAATATCTCAGTGAGTGAATATAATTACATATAGTTGTCGAAATTTACTATTAAGTATAAATCACAATATGAAAACACTGAGGCATTTAGCAGCAAAAAAATCTTTGAAAACTAATAAGCCCCCGATTCTCTAATGAATCATAACACCCTTTGAATTAAAATGACCAGTCAACGTACACCTTCCACAAAAGAAAGGATAGGTTATTTAATTACGGCAAAGCCTCGAGGGCTATCTGCCTAAGGGGAGGAATGCCTTCGTGGAGGACTTTATAAGGGAAACTGGCTCTTATACACGTTACACATGGGGAAAACCACGAAAACACCCATGCAGCCAGCCCGTTCGCGGGATTCGAACCTCGGCCCGAACTACCAGCGTTCAGCGACTTTACCGATCGGCCGCTGCTGGGCCCACACAAAAGAAAGGGTCTATATCTCCCGTTCTACTGTGCCGATTGTCGAAATTTAACTTGCATTTTCCATGCCTCGAAAGCATGACTTAGGATACATATTAGACTTATATATAGCATTGTTCTAACATAGGTATTTTGACAAAAAATCGGATTTTTTCTGAAACAACATACCAATATTTTTCCATATTTCGATTTTACGACTCAAATTATGGCAAAGTGCCAAGTTTTGTAAACATCGCTGGAGTAGATTTTAAAACATTACCTCTCAAAATTTTAGCTCCCCCATGTTAATTGAATTTGTCATATATTTTTTTTAAATCTCTTTTTTTATTAAACTTGTTTGATTCATCCTTTCATATTTCAAAATTTAGGTTCATTCCAAATAAAATTCGACAAATTTTTTTTATGATTTATTTTTAAAATTTGTATGTTTAAATATTTTTTATAAATTTTTCGAGAAAAATTTGAATTATAAGGTATAAAATTTTTGCCATCGTTTTAAAGTATATGTACGACTTTCTAAGCATACCTGCAAAAAATTAGAGTTTTTTATTCAAATTTCCTAAGATATATGCGAATTTACGGTACGTCTTGAAATGTCGCCTGTTTATTATAAGCGATAATAACGGAAATATGGTTTGCGCACTTTGTTAAAATTATTTGAAAGTATAAAATTGGTATGTTACTTCAGAAAAAGTACGATTTTGTGTCTTCGCGCTTTCAATACATGGAAAACGCAATTTGAGTTCGTCAATCGGTACAGTAGAACGGGAGGTATAGAACTGTCTTTTTTTACTTCCTTGTACGAAGTAAAAAGGAAGTATTGTAATCGTGAAAAGTTTCAGGCAGCATATTTCAACGAAAATATCCATTTTGACCGCTATCGGATGCAATTTAACGATGTTTTTGCGTGATACTGTAATACAGTAAGAAATTACTCTTTTTTCCTTCAAAAAAATTATAAAACTGCTTTAAAAAATGAATTCTGAAGACAATTTTTCGTGGCGTCTGTACGAACGTGTACGTACGTATCTCGCATAACTCAAAAAAACGAGTAGCCTCAGAACGTTGAAATTTTGTATATAGGACTGCTATAACATGTAGATGTGCACCTCGTATTTCGGTTGCAATCGGCCGCACCAAACGTATATAAATATATATTATATATATATCCACTCGGTTACCCGGCTCAGTGATCTCAGTTTCTTTACTCTTATATGTTGTAAATTGGTACATTTTTGCTTTAAAAATAATTGAATTATGTTGTTTTTATCTTCCGGTTAAGGATTTTATGCCTTTAGTAAATCTGTGTGCAATATTTTTAGAATTATCAGCAATTTTGTTTATCAGCAAGTTGTTTAATTGCCGCTAAGCCTGTTTTTAATGGCGGCCATTGATGTTTACATTTGAAATAGGAGACTAGCGGATTTGTTGCCAATCTAGAAAAAGCTTCGCAACAACAAAGATAACGCATTCATTTATTATTGCCAATTAAATCATGCTTAATTCTTTCTGGAATTTTTTCGAGGAAATAAACGTTTAAGATTTACTTCGTAATTTTTAATACAGATAATTTGAGTTTTTATGAATTTTAGCCTTGTCGCGAAGTGAAAACTGGATTAATTGAATGAGAAATACTCAATCGTCTGTGAAAAACTGTTTCTTTTTTGTTTGTTTGTTTGCTTAATTTATAACATAGTTCTAGCTTTACTATAGTATTTGAATAGAACATGTGGCAACGATTAGATAATTCTTTAAGTGATATACATTTTGTGCATTCTGAGTTTAATATGAACGAAATATAATGCTGTTAAGTAAACCTAGCGCCAGAGTGTCGCTATGGTAAACAAATACTAGAGTGAATTTTAAAGATGCATTTATTCTATTTATTGTGGTTATTGCGCTGTCGGCGAAGTAGGTTTAATGCAATCAAATAAGTTTAAATAAAATGCAAGAAAAAATGCGTATAATTTAATATTCCGTACCAGGAATTCATGCGGTGTACACGTCAGATTTTTTTTTTTTTTTTTTTTTTTTTTTTTTCCATGGCCGTGTACTTGGGACCTGTCCAACATTTAGCTCTTGTTCTGAATTCCCGATAATCTGACCCGAATAATTTTTTTAAAGTGTTAATATGGATGTTAGGTTTTCGAGCGTGCGGAGAGAACTAAGCTTATTTTGGCTACTCAATGATTTCTCTCAGACTGGTTTTGATCACTCTCATTTTCAAAAACATTGTTTGTAAATGTAAACATTATTCAGCTGAGTGCGTCCACGTCAAACACAATTATTTTCCCCCTCTTCGCCTTTTTGAATCACGTTAAACAAGATGCTATTGTTACTAATAACTCTAGGAACAACGACTAAAGCAATAATAAATAATGTAGCAAATAAAAAATGCATTTAAGGTAAACAATAACCAAAATCGGCCACCCAATCCTTGAAGTTTATTTATCTCACAATATCCTAAAACGAACGTCAAAACAATTCGCACATTGCAAAAACCTAAATTTAGATCATAATAATACATCGTATAACATCCAACTGCTCGTATTATTGGAATCTTAAATTTTACAATTTTAAATGTACAAAAATATTTTACCCGCTATCAAAAATTAAAAATTCTAATAATTTAAACAGTCTGATATTTTCCAATGTTATTACTGTTGTATGTTAAAATTAGTATTGGTGCATGTTAAAATTGTTAGAAATAAACTTTATTTTATTTTTATGATGATGTATCTGCCAAAGCGATGCTATAATTATAGATGTTCCTTAATAGTCATGTGCAGCTCCTTTTTTGTTTTTTTGGCGAATGGCAACAGTTTAGTTAGTCAAGTAAATAAACATGTAACGTGCATTTGTAATTTGCTTATTTCTTTCTACTACATTTCAAAATGCATATACCATTTAAGTAATTTCTATCAAAAATGGCAAACATTTCTAACATTTTTTACTGCTTCAATGAGTGACAATTTTTACAGGTGAATACATACAGAGCAAATCCTATCTTTACTAGTACGGCGGACCACACAGAGATGAAAAAATCGTGTGTGCGATTCCCGTAAGTCACTGTTTTCAAGCTTTTACGACGTGTCCCACGGCATGGTCTGACATCGCAGACTCAATAATTCGTTCCAGCTGACATTACAAGACATAACTTCACGACCAGTATCGAGAGATTTCAGCACTGTGTCTATCCTCAAAGCCTCTCGGTTTTAGGAGGGCTGACTAACCAATGATCTTGTTTTTTTTCGGATATCGTTCCAGATAATCTGAGGATTGTAAAATACTACTGAAAGATTAAGGAAGCGTGGCTAATTCAGTTTGCAGCTTGTTTCCATCGGAACAGGCCAGAATGCTGTGAACTCTCGGCCAGAGAGACCTTCGTTAGCAAGTTCCTTACGTCACGAGGACTACACTTCACTACCATAATTGTTCTATGCTATCTATGAATTATATTGGGTGCTACTTTGGTAGATGGTTGCACGGATTTTGACGATTTTTTGGCGATTTTTCTTTAGGCGAGTAATACAACTTATGGTAAACCCATTGCTGGATTAGTTATTTATGGTAACCGATCCCCCGTTTTTTTGTGGCTTCTAAATATTCTGGTCCCGTAATCGCCGTGGTGTCCTAATGTTTCCCCACTACTCCTCCCGTTTTTCCTTGCCTGATACGTCCCGTGTTTTTCAATTCTTTAGCATTTTTATTTGGTTCATATCCAACTATTAAACCTCAATTCATTTTTCCCTTTGTTGAATTTTAAATAATTTTAATTCTTGCTCATACAAAATTTCATGGTGTTATATCTGTTCTATTCATTTATGTTGTTGATTTGAGGTTGTCCTCAATGATACGTCACCTGAGATATCCCCAGTCCTTGTTTTTATTAATATCTATCAATTTCAGTAATATAATCTAATTAAAACGTTGGAAACAAGGTTTTATAGGGGGGTTTTTTTATTTTTCTTCGCGTTAATATTTGACAGGAAGAAAAATAAACCTTGTACTTAGGTTTTTAAAATAAAAAATTTATCTCATAGTAAAGTTTTTATTTACAATTGCCTGTCATCTTAAAAAAAAAAGTTTTAATTCAACATAAAAATGAATTCCAACATGTCATTCTTTATTTTGGTGAGTTTTGGCGGGGTAGTAAAGAAAGAAAAAGAATGATCAAAAAAATCCTTTTAAAAATTCATCAACGTCCCTAAAAAAAAGTTGAATAAAAACAACACCAACTCAAAAAACCGTGACAATCGCCAAATCAAAAATCCGTTTAAATTTTCCCAGTATCACCCATTTCTTGTCCATTTAATTTTTCCTTTTATTTTAAAAACGTTTTTATTTTGTTGAATTTTTCTAATTCTTTGCTCTAGCCGTGATGTAATAAAGCTCCCATTGGTTTATGAAATTTGTTTTTCTTGGGTCTGTAATCAGGTTCTATTTGATTGTTAATGCGTTTTTAATTTGTGCGCCTTATAATTAAAGTTTTAAAATTTATTCATATCTTTCGAATTCCTTCAAAATGTTATAAAATTATGATCCTGATTTTTTTGTGGTACTTATCAATAAACAAGAGGTTAAATTACTCGAAAAAAAAAATTTGTAAGATTTTTTTTTCTTTTTTATAATTAAATTCTTCATTTTTGTTAATTTTTAATTAAAATATTTTCGAAATTGCGAGATAATTATTGTCACATATGTTTTAATGTTAATTATATTTTATATAAAGTTTTTAAAAGTTTGAATTTAATATCTTCTCCTTCTTTTAAATTGTGGTATGATGGTTTAATCCTCTAAACTAATTAAAAACGTTTTGCACAATGGTTTTTATAGCGGTGGTGTTTTTTGCTATGCTCTTACTTTAGATATAGAAGTAATAATTCACTTGTCCTCTTAAAAACCGACCGTTTATATAAAAAGAATCCATACTTTTTAACGATATTAATTTTTTTTTAAGTTTCGAATACTTTACTATGCGTAAAAACAGCGTTTTTCAAGATGGCTGACTTTTCTAAAAATCGCGCCAACGTAAATCGCCAAAAATCCGTGCAACCGTCTACCAAAAAAAAAAAAAGTATGTTTAATTTTTTTAAATTAAACTCAATTTATTCTTATGAAACTATCCATTAATTATATATTTACGTAAAGAGCTTCTCTTAATTGTAATAAATATGTTTTTGAGTTCAGAAATGCAGTAGGCATTACGCAGCCTCACAGATGTACTAATCATTATATGGATCAGAAGCGCTACCTGCTGTCGGTTTTCCACACTAGTTTACATCTCAAATACAAATACTATAGCGAACAAACAAAAACATATGGCGGTGCTACTTTGGTAGACGGTTGCACGAATTGTTGGCGCGATTTTTACAAACGTCAGCCATTTTGAAAAACGCTGTTTTTACGCATAGTAAAGTATTCGAAACTTAAAAAATAAATAAATAAATATCGTTAAAAGTAATGGATTAATTTTTTGTTGAAAATGTCGTTTTTTAAGATGGCAGGCAAGTGTAAATAAATACATTTACTATGAGTATAAAATACTAAAGTAAGGTTATTATTACTTTCATATAGCAAAGAAGAGAATAAAAAACACCGCTATAAAAACATTGGGCCAACGTTTAATTAGATTAAAATATTACTGAAATTGAATATCGAATTAAAAACATCATCCTACAACATTTAAAAGAATTAGAATATTATTAAATTCAAATACTTTAAAATACGTTATATAGAATATAATTAACATTAAAAAAAATTAAATAAAAAAAAATATATTTTTTTTTTTTTATTTATAAAGAAAAATATGTACTTACATTTTTTTGAGTGTTTAACCTGTTCTTTACTGATAAGTACCACAATAAAAAATCAGAATCATAATTTAGATAACATCTTTGAAGACATCTTTGAAGGAATTCGAAGATATAAATTAAATTTTAAAACGGCGCGGAAATGCACAAATTGTCAGTAACCAATCAGGGAGCTGATTACAGCTCGTTAATGCACAAATATTCTATAACCAATCAGAGAGCTTATTACATCACGGCTAGAATTAAAATTATTTAAAAATTCATACATAATAAAATCATTTTTTAAAAAAATGCAAAATTAAATTGTATTTTAATATTTAAGAGCCATAAATAATGTTTAAAACATTAGATTAAATTTATACATATTAAAACGAATTACTTTTAAAGTAAGGTGACGTCATTGATTACATCATCCACAACATAAAATTTCATAAAATATGATAAACAATAAAATTTTTATTTCAAATAAAAATGCAAAATTAAATTGATTTTTAATATTTAAAAGCCATAAATAATATTTTAAACACGGAATTTATGCACAATAAAACGCATTATTTTTTAAATAAAATGACAACAAAGTATCGGTTACCATAAATAACTTATCCAGCAATGGGTTTACCATAAGTTGTATTACTCGCCAAAGGAAAATCGCCAAATCATCGCCAAAATCCGTGCAACCGTCTACCAAAGTAGCACCCATATGGCAATACTTAACACTCTGTAGACATTAATCAGTTGAGTGCGTTCATGCCACACATATTTTCTCTCTTCGCCTGTTCTTTTATGTATTTATGGATGTAATATTTCTATGTGTATTATTACTTTTTATCTTATTAGATGGAGAAGGTACTATTTTAGAAGAAGTCTGCGAAGAGGAGAAAAAAAATTGTTGCTTGACGGATAAAATGATTATTCGACTAGGACAGCTTGGAGTTGAAGTAAAATGCTTTTGCTTTTTTATGTTAAATCATTGGTAGTGCTAGTTTATATTACTAAATAACATAACAAATAACGGGTTTCATTCCTGCGTAGGTGGAAAAGTATTATCGATCCCACAGAGATATTGAATGGGGTTTCTGGAATAACAATCTGTACGTGTTTCAAGTGAGTAAAATAAACCGAAGAGGTTTTCAGTTCTTTATAATCATTCATGCAACATTTCTTCAGAATTTTATCATGGAAGTATGATAATATGGAGCTTATTAAACATGTCGAATTTATTGAAAAATGAATCATTAAATGTTTCTTTTGAAATTATTAGAAATGTTTATTTAAACTTTTTCAATACATATTCAACAGTGGTTATGTATTCCTTATTTCAAATGTAAATGTTTCTTTTATTTTCTTAGTACTTCATATTTATCACGCATACGCAGAAAAGTATTTGAGGTATAAATTCATACCCCAAGAAATTTTCAAGTAACTGTTATCTTAGATTTGGTAGTCACTATAACTTTCGTTATTTCAAAAAATAACTTCAAACTACAACTCATCTTCCTCTTTAAAAATTAATCAATTTTTTTAAAACCGCGGTAAATTAAATAATCATAGATAAACTACTGGTAAAGTATCACAATGCTATTTTTTTCAAAGAAACCAACAATTCCAATACGAATACGTAGTAATATTAACAATGCAATATTTGACGGATATTAAGTCGATGTCTGATGAATATCTGATGGTAATTGACACGACGTTCGCGCATTGAACTGGCTTATATTCCCTTAAGCAGGAATTCTTGCATATGATTAAGCTTCCTTGATTTTAAAGTACTTGGCTGTATTTTTAATAATAATATTGAATTTATCATTCCTAATTAAAGACGATTAACGTATGTCATATCGCCCAGACAGTATAGTGGATAGGGGAGGTAAACCGCTGAGTTGGCTTCCGACCCAGGGATAGATATATCCATGCAGAATTGGTACCAACTCGGCGAGAGTCAACAACTAGCTACCAGGCCGCCGCCCTGGGCAGCCTCGGCTGAGCAGACGATTATAAAATGCAAAAAAGAGATATAGTGCATACAAGGCACTTGAAGAAGAGTACAACAATGTACAAAGAAATATATACATGTGCATACAAGGCACTTGGAGAAGAGTAATATCAAAATATATGTATATGCATATAAAATACAAACTCATATACAGATATATAGTACACACTTACATACATAGATATTCCGAAACAAATAAAAGTATGCATACTCTCACTCATATTGATATATACACCCATACATATACGTTATCATGATAGTTAAAGTTTACAAGAAGCATGCCACTGAGGTACGCGTGATCCTTAATATAAATTAGGTACCATAAATAAAACATATAAACATGTTTTAATGGATAGGGGAGCCTACTTAAACATATAAACATGTTTTAGTGGATAGAGAACCCGGGTTCGCATCCCGGAAAAGACATGGATGTTTGTAAATGTATAGTGTCGGTGCGGCATGGCGGCACTCTAAATATGAGGCGAGTCGAAAGTCCTCTCGTGTGGATTGGTGGTAGAGGAGGGGTGGGAGACCCTCAGATCCCCCCAGGGGTGCTCTTCCTCAAAATTAAGGGTGGAAAATAGAAGCCCAACCTCACTTCGGAGAGGCTCTGGCAACCATTGCTCCATGTAATATGAATAGGACAACAACAACATCGTATGTCATACAGCAATATTAGTTATGCTTAACTTAAAAGATATGCATATTATGTTTTAAATCATATACATTTTCTAGTTATGTATGCTCTACCAATTTCCTACGGATAGAACACTTCACCGCAGATAGTTCATCTTGAGTTAGATTCTTGGATTAATTGAGATTAATGTTCAGCTGCCGTAACGTAAACTCCAGGCAGTTTTTCCTAGAACGCCTGCTTTTTGCTTCGTAAAGCTTGCTTAGAAAGCTTTACGTAGCTAAAATTCTTCAGTGTTTTTTTATATATCTGTCTGTACGACGTGTCCGGCTCAGTTACTTTGTAAAGCCAAATGAATGAGTCTTGACCACAGTTCCCACGAAGGACATCGGAGGAAGGAACAAAAAGTAATAAACTAAGGTTACAGCTGAAAACATCGCGGCAAAAACATCGCGGACGAAAACGTCGCGGACGAAAACAACGCAAGGCGAAAACGTCGTGCTACAAAACATCGTGGGAGAAAACATCGCAGGTCTAAAACATCGTGGTACAAAATGTCGTCGTCGAAAATAAAGCCGTTCAAAAACTTCGCAGTTTGGAAACATCATCTTCGAAAATATCGTGGTAAAAAATAAAGTATCTACAAAACATCGCATGACGATAACATCGCAGACATGCTTTATTTTTTTCAGGCTTTTTTTAGATTATACCTTTCATGAAAAATTACTAGTAAAAGCTTTTTAAAAAGTAATTTATTAATGACCTTTTGTTAGTTAACTATGTCGGTTTAAAATTCTGTTAAGTGCTATAAGTTCCATTACTTTTCTATGCTTAAGTTTCCTTCTTACTTTATCAGCAAAAATGTATTAGTTAATAAAAAATATGAAAGTAAAAATTATCCTTCTTTCCATCTTGCGCTCAATCATTATAGGAATATCCATTTACAATTATTATTAAAGCCTGAAAAAAATAAAGCATGTCTGCCATGTTATCGTCATGCGATGATTTGTAGATACTTTATTTTTTACCAAGATATTTTCGACGACGATGTTTTTAAACTGCGAAGTTTTTGAACCGCTTTATTTTCGATGACGATATTTTGTACCACGATGTTTTAGAACTGCGATGTTTTCTCCCACGATGTTTTGTAGCACGACGTTTTCGCCTTCCGTTGTTTTCTCCGCGACGTTTTCGTCTGCGATGTTTTTGCCGCGATGTTATCGGCGGACACCATAAACAAAATACCAGGATTTCAAAAGATCGAACACATCAGCAATAAATAAAGCTACAGTGAGCCAGAACGTAAATAACAGAAGTAAGGTGAAATCTGATGTTTGGAAAATTTCTTAAGTCTGAGCATGCCTGCACGTTCGGGTAGCTTAACGAAGACAAAATACGTTTTATATAACATTAGGTATTTTTTGGAAGCAGGCAAGATCAAAAATGAGCAAACGCCTTCGCCGGGAATCGAGCCGCAGCCCTTCAGCGTGCAGAACCACTACACCACGAAGGCACAGGAAGGCGGGAGAAATATCTTATAATACATGCAAGAGAAAAAAGGATCAAATGCTAATACAATAAAATGCAAATACTAATTGAGTAGAGTTGATAAAAATAAAAATAATCAAGGGAATGCAGCTCACTAATAAATTAATCTTAGCAGAGAGGAAAACCATAAACCAATAAAGGAAGGGGAAAATTATGCGAATATTTTTTAAATTATCAGAATCTAACAATAAAAGACTAAGAGGAGAAATGCACGAGGAAATGCAATAATTTCAAAGACATTTGAATACCTTACTGTTTACCAGGTGCAATGCATGAATTTCATTTTTTGTTTCCCTCTGTTTCTTTATTTTTGTTCTTTTCAGTCTCGACCAGTAACTAGCGGGACAAATGAAACAGTGTTTGAAATAGATCACGAATTCGACTCTCCTCTTCGAACGGAGAATGATTTCTTTTCCGTGGCGAACGTGGGGTAAGTAACTTGCAATACAATAATATTTACACATAACAGTGAAACCTTTCAAAACAACCAATCATAGTTACAAAATATTTCGATCTTCTGTTTGAGTCGCTTTACAGAGGTGATGTTCAGTGCCAATATATTTTATTTACATTCTCAAACACTGGAACGCTGTTCGAATTGGTGTCCGTCCGAGATGTTAGGTATACGGAGTTTAAATGCCAACTTGTCGAAAGAAATTAGGGCTAGACAGTGATATGATTTCTGTTGATTTGATAACAGATAAATGATGACAGCACACGATTTACAGAAGACGCAGAATTAGTCTCATCACCTTCATGAATCGGGTAAAGACAAAATTGTAACAACACGAATACAGTAAATTGCAGCTAGTGCACAAGCTTATATTGGAAAATGTATGTTCTAAATAGGTGAGTAGTTGGTACACAAATAATCAAATTGAAAATATACATATGAATACAGAACTATGCACGAAGTTCAGCCCTGAACATAGAGAAGGGGTGTACTTGTACGATCTACTATTTTTGCACTAACATAATATGTAACTAGATCTACCAAAGCGTTAACCCTTGTGAATTGTCGAACAGGATCAAAGATGAATACAACGAAGGGTGTAAAAGATCCTTTCATTGAACACAATGTAATTAACAGATGGCATAGACGTAGGTGCTTAGAAAATCCGAACACTTGCGGCGAGAACTTAAAAAAGACTTAATATCGAATTTAAAAATCTGATGTGGACGCCATATGACTTCCTTGTACGGCCTATTAAATCATATGTAACTAGATCTACCAAAGCGTTAACCCTTGTGAATTGTCGAACAGGATCAAAGATGATTACAACGAAGGGTGTAAAAGATCATTTCATTGAACACAATGTAATTAACAGATGGCATTGACGTAGGTGCTTAGAAAATCCGAACACTTGCGGCGAGAACTTAAAAAAGACTTAATATCGAATTTAAAAATCTGATGTGGACGCCATATGACTTCCTTGTACGGCCTATTAAATCATACATATTTTGTATGCATTTCATTTAAACTTATTACCTCGAATTTCATTAAAGATACATTTCTCATTCGATTAATTCAGTTCTCACTTTGAGAATTTCATTTGAGTTTGAGTTTATTTGAGTTTAGTTCATTTGAGTTTAGTTCATTCGATAAAGGCAAAAATGCATAAAAACTCAAAATATCTTCATTAAAAATCGAAAAATAAAGCGAAACATAAAACACCAAATACAGTTAAAACAGTTCGAAATATTTTTTTTTACAATTAAAATTAGAGTTTCTGCGCAAAAACAACCAATTCAGCCAACGGGAAGAAAGCAGATTTTTCGGTGTACAAAACTGAATGTTTGCCTTTGATCCCACTCGGCAAAAGGACACTGAAGGCGCAGAAAATGACTTGATTCACTATTCTGCTAAGTTTCAAACATAAATAAATATGGAGGCTTTATTAGGCTTGGCCGCAGTTGAACAACTTTTCAACTGTTGATAATTCTACAATTTTTGCATGCAAATTAACTAAAGGCATAAAAACCTTAACCGGAACATAAGAGCAACAATAACTTTTAAAGAAAAAATGCACAATTTACCAACATATAAGAATTAAAAAAAATGAGCTCATCGAGCCGAGTAGTAGTGGGTGTATATATATATATATAATTTTGGTGCCGCCGGTTTGAACTAAAAAGGGAGGTGCACAACTACATGTTACAGCAATTCTATATACGAAATTTCACCGTTCTGAGGCTACTCGTTTTTAAATTATGCGAGATACATATGCGTACGTGCATACGTATGTACAGACAAGACGAAAAAAATTTCTTCTGAATCCATTTTAAAGATTATTCTACAATCTGATTTGGGAAAAAAGAATCCATTAGTCTGTTGTTACGTACAAATGTCACGCAAAAACATCGTTAAATTGCATTGGATAGTGGACAAAATGGATATTTTCGTTGAAATATGATACCCGAAATTTTTCGTGATTACGGTACTTCCTTTACTTCGTACAAGGAAGTAAAATTAAGGGTTGTAGAAGACTACATAATTCAATTTAATCTAATAGGTTAACTCCAGAACCTATTACAGCAGGATCATAGTTCGGCGGCGAGAATACTTAGCCGATATTTAAGGTTAACAGCTGGAAGAATTAGCCACGTGCGCTCACAATAGCAAAATCATTCTCTTTCACTAAACTTCTCACTACTTCAGATACTCCTTCGCCCACCAGCGGCCGAGCGGTAAAGTCGCTGAACACTGGTAGTTCGGTCCGAGGTTCGAATCCCGCGAACGGGCTGGCTGCGTGGGTGTTTTCGTGGTTTTCCCCATGTGTAACGTGTATACGAGCCAGTTTCCCTTAGAAAGTCCTCCACGAAGGCATCCCTCCTCTTAGGCAGATAGCCCTAGTGAGCTTTGCCATAATTAAATACACCAATACACCAAAACACACCAGATACTCCTTCGTTCACTTGAACTAAGTTACATCCTGGAAAGGAACCGCGGCAGATATCAGAAGGAAAAGGAAAGGCTAACAAATTAAAATAACTATTAGAAAAAAAAAAAAATGTCACCATCTATTTTCAAATTCTATCCCACTTAGTAAATTTACTCTGAAAGGTTAGTTTTTTTTTTTTTTTTTTTTTTTTTTTTTTTTTTTTTTCCATTTAAGTCAATTTTTAATGATTAATTAAACATGTTAGAATTAGTTGAAAGAAAAGTGAAAAGTCAGTCAAACAGTTTACTATTTGTCTATATATTTGAATTACATAGCGTAACCAATAAAGATATCTTACAAGTAGCGTTAATTTATAAATCGAGGCTTGTTTAAACGATTTCAGGTGCCAACGGTCCACGTTTGAGTTTCTGAAAAAAAAAAAAAAAAAAAAAAAAACATAAGGGACTAAAATACGAAACTTAATTCGGTTCGTCTTCGAATTTTATGTTTTTAAAATTTAGGCTTGAAAGCATTATCGAGTTTCACCCTCTTTGGTAACATAAACTGAGTGAGAACTCTGAAGAAATAAGGGTTCTCAGATAATTTAACAGAATGCACAGCTTGTGCTTACAGAACCAGCCAGCATTTATGACGAATTGAACTTAACTAAGTTAATTTGCAGTTAGCCCAAAGGCTACACTTACAGAAAACGCGCAATTTGTCTGAGACCTAATATCGAGGTGACAAACCTAATGGCGTGACTAACGCAACGCCGCAGATCGACTGCTATCAAGAGTTTCAACTAGTAACGTAGCCTTCACCAGGCGGAACATGCTCTGATTCTACCATCTTAAACGTTCCTTTAAATACTATCTATTTCTACCTCGTTTGATTATACGCGCGAGATAGAAATTACCATTCTGGAAGGAAAATGGACAGCGAGAAAGGCAGTAAAGATCATTAATGGAAAATAATTGGTTAAAAAAATAAATGAGTACTGTACAGCATTATTCAAAATGTTACATATACTGTAGAAACTTCTACTGAAACTGGAATCCCTGGATCTCTTGGATAAGTCAGGCCGTACTTGTCAAGTGCATTTGAAAGTTTTTAAGGTATGTGCCTACCCTAAATTCGTCGTTTTGGTGAAATTTTTTTTATTTATTCATTTTATAGGCCATATATTTAACTACCCTTTTATTCACTCAAAGAAAAAAACACAGATGGCCCCTTCTCGGGCTTACAAGAAAGCATTCGCGTGGACTTTTAAAGCAGGAATAAGAAAATAGGAAATTAATCTAATACTAAACTAAATAGACTTAGCCGAAGCTAGACACAAATACCTAACTTAATTGTCCTTTAAGGTACGTGCCTACCCTAAAATCGTCGTTTTGGTGAAAATTTTCGAAATGTTTTTTATTTATTCATTTTATAGGCCATATATTTAGGTTTCCAAAAATGCTTTATTTTTGTGTTTACGATAAATAGAAGCAAAGTTATAGTATAAAAAGTAAACCAGAAGTGAATTTTTGGATGCCGGAAGTTGGCTTTTAAATGGTCGTAAAAATGTAAACAATAAGTTTAAACAACTATTTTCTAATTATTAACCAACATAAAAGCTGATAAAATGCCTACATGGGAAGACTCAAAACAATAATGAGTATTTTAATAACCTTTTGAGGTGTATTTTACCTAAAGAAACTTTTATCCAACTGAAAATATTGCTTTTAGGTTCAGATATTGCTGTATTACTGTTTAATTCAAGATATTTAGGACTTTTACCTATTTTCAGGTATATAGAAATAGAAATTAATTCGCTTATGCTTGAAAGCTACATGGGAATAGACAAACTGCGAATTCAGAAATAGAAACACCAGCGGTCGAGCGGTAAAGTCGCTGAACACTGGTAGTTCGGACTGAGGTTCGAATCCCACGAACGGGCTGGCTGCATGGGTGTTTTCGTGGTTTTCCCCATGTGTAACGTGTATACGAGCCAGTTTCCCTTAGAAAGTCCTCCCCGAAGGCATCCCTCCCCTTAGGCAGATAGCCCTAGTGTGCTTTGCCGTAATTAAATACACCATACACAGAAATAGAAACGCCAATCTCTATAAGCAGCAAACTTAACCAGTAAAATGCTAAAAGAAAGTCAAAATTAGTTAAGAATGAAGTAAAAGAGGGCCTAACATACAAATACGGCGAGTTTTAAAGGTCCAAAGTGACTACAAAATTTTGTGTGCTGTATTAAAATCTTTAAATGCATTTTCTGAGAAATTGTGTTTTTCGTTACTTTTGACTGCGATTACATTAATTTCTTAAAATGTATTTTAGAATACTGAAATGAAATTTTGCCAAAATGTTTTATTCATCTTTATCTGTGTTCTGTAGCAAAATCTGATCTCTTTGTATTTATTTATTGATTTTATTGACAGTATTTAAAAGAAAAGAGGATTCTTTTTTTGTTTAAATTTTGAGTTTTTGAACCAAGTTTTGAATATTTCAAAAAATTTTATAAGTACTGCAAATCTTTTTCTACAGAACACAGGTAAGTATGTTAATTATATACTGTGTAAAGATTAAGGAAGAATCTTCATTAGAATTTATTTTAGGAGATCTGGCGTAAATGAAAATTTTCACTAAAATTTTACTAAATATTGTCTATATTTGAAAAATTAATGAAACGTTCTATAAAATTCCATTTAAATTCATAGTTTTATATTCCATCTTACTCAAAAACATGTGGGTTTAATTAAAATTTTATGGATTTAAAAAAAAGGGCTTCGTATGTAGGCACATACCTTAAGAATACATTACTTGTTATGTGAGATAACATGATTAGCAGGATAATCTGGGATGACACGATGAATATATCTTTCTTTAAAATCTTCAATCAATGTAAGGTATTTTCCCCCTCTTTTTCGCTTGTCTTCGTACTGTAACTAGAAGCACACTCGACGCGTATCCTAGACGTCCGGAGTCCCAATCCCGGTGAGGGGATCGAACATTTTTTACGTTCCTGAATCGATATAACCTAATAACTCTACAAATATGGAACAAGAACCTAGTCATCTTAAATTCTCGCCGAAACGTGTGGAATCTAAATGACAAGATGAAGCGTAGATGCTAACTACGTTAATTTGGTAAGCGTCTAAATTGTAAATAAGGTCGCTCACACGAAAACTTACCAGTTGTAGCTCACATTATCAAATGCTGAATATTTCTGCAGAATCACTGAACTTCATGTAGTTTACTTTGTAGAGTCATTAGGTTTTTTTTTTTTTTTTTTTTTTTTTTTAAAAAAAAAAAAAAAAAAAAAGCAGGAGAGGTGAAAAATGTGCAATGCCCTTCCGGGATTCGAAGCCTGGAGATCTCGAATACACGTCGAGTGCGCTTCCAGTTACACCACAAAGGCATGAGGAAAGGAGGGAGAAAATATTGTTACGAATTTGGTATTTAAAAAGCTATTTTAGTTCAATTATAAATTAAATGGTTTTATTTCCCGCGCAGTGCAGCGCGTGACGAATGTTAAAAGAAAGCTAAGCTGGAAAAATTGAAAATACAAGAGCACGTGCATTTAACATTAAATAAATAAATATGCCTTTTTGATTTCGAGAAAGTACCAGAAAATTCTCGCACGCGATTTAAAAATCTTATAAAAGGAGGAAAACCTCTCAGTTCGTTGGAGTTACTTAGTTTGTTGTTGTTTAGAAAACTGCTCTTGTTGATTGTAGCGAATTCGCGGATTAGCTTTCTTTAGCTGTTTTGAATATTAAGTTCTTTTGAACGTTTGAGTAGTTTAAAGATAACTACTGTGATATATTGTGATACTGCACGATTATTTGAGGACATTTAATCATATTTGTTGTTATAATAATAAATTTTTGTTCATTTTTCATCGGACTTGTGCATTCATTTCGTAACGAACCCGTACGCACGCAACAATATCATGTACGAAGTAAAAAGGAAGCATTTTTCACTCTGTTTTAAAATAAAATTACGAACAAAGGGCTAAAGTGAGCGTTTTATTCCTCAACGTCTGAATACCTGAACTATTTAAAGTTAAATATGCCACCAGGAAATAACATCGTTTTATACATTAACTGCCATGATCCCCATTTGGGGATTTGTCTCAGTAGCGGAAATTTGGAAACTTTAATTAGGTTGGCAACAACGGTTAATTTTTTACATTGTTGTTTAAACTTTCTCAAGTTTTTGCATGAGTTGTTGAGTAGTAGTTGTTAAATGAGTGAGCTGGAGAGTATTATTTTTGAGAAAAAGTAAAATTTTTGTGAGTTTCAAGATTCCATCATTTTCAAAACACCGGTATGTCATATTATTATATACGCTGCGCAAAACAAAATAAAGGCGGGGGGACAGTTCTATGTCTCACGTTCTACTTGGCCGATTGACGAAATTCAAATTTCGTTTTTCGGGAAAAAAAAAAAAAAGGGGGACAGATATAAAACTTTCCTTTCCTCCCACCCCCTTTACGCAGCGTACATCATTTCCAATTCCTATGTGCTGCCGCGTTCTCTAATCGTTTTTGAATATATTTAAAAACTAATAATTTTAATATAAACTGTTTACTGTTAATGGGAATTTTATATTCCGGTGAGATGTCGATCTCCATTTAGAACTCGGAATGGAAAGTGGAATAAAAATGGAAGGCAGGAATCTGAAATTGGGAGAAAAACAATTTGGTAGTTAATGGGTTAATTTTAATATATCAAAGCAGGGAACAGTTTTAAGGGTCTTAAAGCAAGTTCCTTTACATTTGGATATTTAATGAATAATTTAGAATTTCCAGCAGAATCATGCATGGGCACATTCAAAACGTTTCTGTACAATCTTCAACTGTCCTTCAAAACAAAATTAATTTTGTTTAAAATTTCAATTGTTTATTTTAATTATTCTAACTATATAGCATTGTTTTTACTTCTAGGGAAATTATGCCCGGAGCTATGTCACCTTTAGGAATGGATTACTTATTTAGGTTATTTAGCGTCGTCTTTAATGTGAGTATAGAATTAATAGAAAAAAAAAATTGATTGTTACTTACATGCTACTTGCAAATATCTTGCTATGCAAATCTGCGCGTGTTTTAAAAGGCATGCGATGTGATTATCGATGTATGTAACTCCATTTTCTGTTTTATGTGGTTCGCCTCCTCAGATAAGGTCCTACCAGTAAGGTCTCAGCAAATCATGACTCCATATTTACCACTGATTGGCTTCGCCGAAAAAAGACTTAAGTCCTGACTTGATTTTCTAATTGTGCATTGCGCCCCGCCCCCGAAAAAAAAGGGGCAGTTCTATATCTCCCATTCTCATCGGCCCAGTAGAATGGGAGATATAAAACTATCGCTTTTTTTTTCTCTTTTGCGCAGAGTACGTGTGTACATCTGCCCTTACAAAACAAATGCGAAAACTGAAATCCAGAACAAAATATCAGCTGAAGAGGGTTTTTCAGGAAAAAGTTTTCTGAAGATTTTTCCTTCTTCAGCTTCCTCACATTGATATTTGGATGAATTAAAATTTCTGCGATGCAAACTGAGCAGTCATGAACTAATAACACAAAAACTGAGCAGAAATAAATTTTATAGTACTCTTCAAAGAACAATAGTGCTTCGAGCCATAGCTTCTAAATATTTGATGCAATCTTTATAATACCTGTTGCAGGTTTCATTATTCAGATGGAATATATCGTCACAAAACCTTCAAATAAATTAATCATGTTTCCTACCACTCTTACTGTAGTCTCCTAGGTATTTGAAGCAGTATGTAAAAGAAAAAGAACTTTCTTAGAAAGCTTTTCGCGTTGCTCTCATCTTTGTTGCTAAGCAAGAATAATTTTGATAGCTTTGGTGTCAGCTGCTTGAAAAGTTTGCTGTGTCCCACTATCACCGAAGGCGTTCTTACTAGTGATGGGCAACTTCGGTACATTCTTGTACCCGGTACGAGAGTAACGGGTACAGACAAGTACCCGGTACAAAATACCCGTTACTCAAGTAACCGTTACTTTGAAAAGTACCGAAAACCAAATTCAAGTACCGAGTACCCAAGTAACGATTTGGAGTACCGAAGTAACGAAATACCGGAGTAACGGTTTGCAATACCGTAGTACCCTAGTAACGGTTTGCTGTACTGGAGTACCCTAGTAACGATTTGGAGTACCGAAGTACCCTAGTAACGATTTGGAGTACAAAAGTACCCTAGTAACGATTTGGAGTACCGAAATACGCAGCTAACGATTTTGCGCACTGAAGGAACTCTGCCACGTCACCACGTGTTTGATTTTATCTGTACGGAGTAAGATTTTGAGTATCAGAAAACATGTCAACTACGGAAGTGTCTGAGGAGCAGACCATTCATGGACACAAGGAGCGCATATCACCATTTCGCAAATACAACCTCGTACCAAAACCGAATTGAGCTGAACCCTCATCGATCCTCCAGTAACGAATACCGAAATACCGAGAAGAGACGCATATTTTCGTTACAAAGTAACGAATAACGAAAAGCACCCGTTTCGGTACAGAAGTAATGAATACCGAAAAGTACCCGTTTCGGTACAGAAGTAACGAATACCGAAAAGTATCCGTTTCGGTACAGAAGTAACGAATACCGAAAAGTGCCCGTTTCGGTAAAGAAGGAACGAATACCGAAAAGTACCCGTTTCGGTACAGAAATAACGAATACCGAAAAGTGCCCGTTTCGGTACTGATGTAACGGGTACTTGGATGTACCGATTTTCAGTACCCGTTACAAAATACCCGGTTCGGTAGTACCGACTCATCACTAGTTCTTACAGACTAAATCATGGTAGGCACAAATATGAGAATGGTAGAAAACCTGAAGTGTATCAGTATTTCAATATGAACCGCACGAGTATTGTTCTAACTTAGACCAGAGCTTAAATTGCCCCGGAGCCCACCGGGGCCGGGCTCCGATACTTCTTAGATTTTAGGATAAATTATAATTCTAGCCGAAGCGCACCGGAACCCTAAATAAGAAGGCTCCGGTACTTCTTTTATAGAATTGAGCAACAATTTCAGTAGATATTTGATTTCGAAATTTTTAATTTTTAGCAATAAAATTGTATTAAAATTACTTATTACATTTATTAAAATTAGAGATAAATTTAAAAGACAAAAAAGAAAATCTGAAAAATTTCAGATTACGTCCAAAGGGGCGTTCTTTTAACATTTTGTGTGTTACCCTTAATTATTAAATATCCTGTTCTTTGCAGTTAAACCATAAAATTCAGTTCAAGATCAATACCGCAAAATAATTTTAAATTGAGCCTATCTTTAGTATTTCCGATACACAGTCTCGCGCGCTGGAGATAAAAATGTTTTTTCTGTACAACGGAAATAGTAGAGTTTGTTAATCAAAAATTCGTTAAAGTTTTACAAACTATGAAATCGATAATGAAACAAATTTCAAATTTGGGCTTTCAGATGCCATATTCGCAGTAGGATTACGTCATTCAAAACTGGATGCCTCTAGGTACCTTTGTTTTATCACAATGCGAAAAACATACATATATTTATACAGATTCTTCATTATTTAATTTCTTCAAATATAATACAGGGCGATAGTATTTGGTAGCAACAGCTTGATAAGTGAAACAGACATTCAGAGTCATTCGACGCAAAATCGCATAACGAAAACAATTGTCCCTCAGGGACAAAGCCCCTTTGGACTAATATATAATATATTATTAGATTAAGTTTATTTAAAATCACTAAATAAATTTTAATATATTTCTTTAATTATTAATCATTTTAATCATTAATTATTTTAATGATTAATGGTTTTATTTATTTATTTCTTCTTATTCCTCTTTCCTGAGGGTCTACGGTAGGGCTCCGGCTCTTCTAATTTTAGAAATTAAGCCCTGACTTAGACTCACAAAACATCCTACTATATTTTTCTCGTCTTAAATCTGACTTGATCATTAATTCACAGTAATCTTCAGTTTCAGAATTTTCTCTCTCTTATTTTTTTTTTTTTTTTTTTTTTTTTTTTTTTTTTTTGCGCGCGAAAGTGTACGGAGAAGGTTATTCGTACTAATTATAAATATACTACGGATGAAAATATTCAATAACTACATTACACTTTCTTTATTACCACCATTTCGTACTGGATCTTGCACGGTTTCCTGGTAAGATTTTCCTTTGTAAGATGGCAACTTCAGAAAAGGGCAGAAACTTGAACTAGATGAACTACATAAGTATTTTCTTCCTCCTTTCCGCATGCCGTCTTAGTGTAATTGGAAGAATACTCGACGCGTATTCGAGAGGTCCAGGGTTCGAGTCTTGAAGAGGGTGCTGCCCATTTTTTACGTCTCCTTCAATATAACGTAATTACTCTACAAGTGGTGCCCGAACTAGAAAAAGTGGTAGATGATAATTCGTCACCACCAGGATTTGGCGATTACGTCCCCCAATGCCCAATCGCCCTTCAAAAGAGGGAGTGTATTAGTATTTTCTTCCTCCTTTCCGCATGTCTTTGTGGAAGCATATGCGATGCGTATTCCAGAGGTGCAGAGTTCAAGTCCTGGCGAGGGTATTGCACGTCTGGCGAGAGTCTGCTTCAAATTAACCTACTGAGTCTACAACATAATGGCAGGAGCAGTTAATTTTGTTCTTGCTATTGTAACCTTCTGTATAATCAGCTTCTGCTAAGAATTTTACGTTGGCGAAATTTTTGTCAGTGTCAGTTTTTTGATAATATTTTAGTAGTTTTGAATCTCTCCTACAGCTAGAATCAGCCGTGCGGTAAAGTCGCTGAACACTCGTAGTTCGATCCAAGGTTCGAATACCGCGAACTGGCGGCATGAGCGTTTTCGTGGTTTTCCCCATGAGCAACGTGTATACGAACCATTTTCCCTTAGAAAGTCCTCTACGAAGGCATTCCTCATCTTAGGCAAATAGCCCTCGAGCCTTTGCCATAATCACATATATAAACTGAACGTAGAGCTCGAACTTCATAGCTCTCCTTTACTTGTGCTTGATCAGCTCATGTTTTATAGCATTAGCGATAGAAAATGCATTGAATTTCTTTTTGTATCAGTCAGGTTCGGTAATGGCTAAATAGTCGATCATAACCTACAATAATTTTACTTTCTTGTCCCTCTGTAACTCACCTACATCATTCCACCGCAAAGTAGCACAAACTTGGTTTTATGTAATCAAAGCAACACACATTGTTCAGAGTTAGTTAATGAGAGCAATATTAGATAGATCGCATTTCTTATATAACTTATACTCTAGTTTAATTTATTCCTTCCAATGCTCTTTTATTTTTCATTTGGAAAAACATTTATTTGCCTTCGAGATTCGTTTGTCAATTTTGTGGTTCAGGTTTTAGATAGTATGGCTATATCTTACTCAAAGACACTATTGATAATAAATTTTTTGAAAATATTATTGTATTTCAAATTCTAATTCTTAATGTTATACATTAAATGATAATATAAATTATTTTTATGTAAACATTAAAGTGCTTTAAACTGAAATAAGAATATATTTTAAATTTGTTTCTTTAAATATCTGATGTACACTGTCTTCCAAAAGTTAAAGAACAGCAAGTTTTTTGTCTCTAATTTGAGAATGAAGCAACATAGAAACCAGAAATTTAGAGGACTTGTTTTCTTTGAATTTTTTCGAACAGTCCTTTGATGAATGCGACAGCGAAGGTTTCTAAAGTTCAACACAAACATAAATGACAACAAAAAATTGCACTCTTGGCAGAGAAATCCAGTCTTGGAGAAAAAGTACATCACAGATTTTTGAGGAAAGATGGGGGTGATAAAATTACAAAAATAGGTTTTAATAAAAAGCGTGTCCACCCCTAGCTGCTGTACATTGGCGGCGTTCCATGCTATCAATTAAGTTGTCGGTCAGTGAAATGGGAAGCAACGACCAGACACGGAGTAATCTTTGTTCAAGTTCATCTAACGACCTTGGAGGAGGACTTAAAGCAGCAACCTATCTCCCAAGGTAGTCCCAAAGATGTTCTATTTGATTCAGGTCGCGATAGCTAGCCATTCCATCTGCTCCGTACCTTGACTTTCAAGTTAGTCTTCAGCAACCCGAGCTCGTGCATCGCGCATTGGGTCCATCAGAAGACATCCAGGACCAGTAAGCAGCGGCATATGGGCAGACATATTGATCAAGGATCTCATCTTGGTATCTCACACTAGTTCCACCATGGTCAGTGTGACCACCGAGAAAAATCCCAGCCCAAACCATTATTCCACCACCTCTGCAACTGTGTCTTTCCATAATGTGGGATTGGTTGTATCTGGTGTGTTCTTTCCTAAAAATCAGCTGACGACCTGAATCCCTTTCGAATGTTAACCTGGACTCGTCTGTGAAGAGAACAGATGTCAATTGTTGACTGGTCCAGGAGATGTGTTCTCTTGTCCAATATAAACGGGCACCTTTGTGTGCTGGGATCAAGAGGACACAAACAACTGGTCGTCTTGCATACAGACCTGTAATGTGCAGGCGTCTGCGCACTGTAGTATCTGAGATTCTTGTTCCTGTTGCCACTAAATGATCTGCTATGAGCTGAGGCACAGTAATGTTACTCCTCCTTCGGGCCAAAAGAGCTAAATAACGGTCTCTCGCAGGTATTGTAACTCTCGGTCTGCCTGAAACATATCTTCTAGACACGGAATCCTTGGATTCAAACTGATTCCATAGTCGGTGGACCATACTACGAGAGACACTGAGACATCTAGCAGCATCAGCTTGTAGCATCCCCATTTCCATCCATCTCATCCCCCGCCACCTCAAGGAATCAGGCAAACGACTTATCCTGGATATTGATAGACCCTCCTGGATATTATCAACGAAATTACTAATAATAATTGAAGATCAATGCTCGTGAACAAAACTTTTTGCCAATCGTGAGCAAACAATTTTTGCCTTTTTCTCCAACGCCTCCATTAAGTATTCCTTTCCATAAAATAAAAGCGGTAGCTATTGTTTTCGCATACATTTTCTTAAACTTCGTTACTGTCATGCATATAAATTGCGAATTTAAATGTTACTGACTTTTTTGTAATAGTGAGCCTTCAAAAACATGCTGTTCCTTAACTTTTGGAAGGCAGTGTATTATATGATACAAAAGTGTTTAAAGAAATGGAAAAATTACATATTATTAATTGTAATATAATAATTAATATATAATTAATATTTAATTTAATTTAATTTTAACTAATTGTAATTTAATGCCTGAAATATTGTAGATCTGCAATATGTAATCCTATATAACACGTAACAAAAAGTGTAGTAAAATATTTGTAACTGAACACGTGTTTTAAAAGTGTTCCTTTAAACTGAAAATGTGTTTTGTTACAAAATATTGAATTCTGTAACCGTAATCAATGAATGTAATCTCAATTGATTTAAATGATTTGATTTACTATAACCTAAAATTCTTTCTTTTCTTTCAGACCGAAGAAGTACTGTGGGTTGCTGCTTGTCGCAGCCATTATTACCGAAGTGGTTGGATGACCTTTTATAATCACTCCATTTTCAATATTTCAGATGTAAGTTTAACACTTTTTTCTCATCTAATCTATTCTGTTAAGAAGCTGCGGCACAATTTGGTGAACTTCAGTAACAATAAAAAGAAGCAAAAGTATTATATGCAGAAGTTTTATTAAAAATTATTTTGCTCAAAAGTCTTAATTTCTTTCGTTAAATTATCTTTGCCTATTTACTTGCTACGAAATCATCGCTTTTTTCCGTTACGTTCGAATTCTTTCGAGCTAGAGATCTCTCAGTATAATATTTTAAATGTTGTTTAATAAATCTAGTTACATTTTATATACATTAACCACAGCTGCACTGGACGATATAGAGGTTAGCAGAAGCTGACAGCGAACTCAAAACCAACAGTGTAGTTTCGACTGCCTGAATCAGTTCTCTTTTTGATAAATAACTGCACAAGTTTTGATACATGTATGTTGGCAGGGCATCGTTCATATCTCAAGGCCCGCTTACAGGCCACCAGAGATTATCAAATACACTTTTGAGATCGAGAAAAATGTGTTGCTACATGATGGTTGCTGGTTGTTCTACCAGTTGTAAAGCCTTACTGACATGGAATAAGGATGTTATTTTCTTGTATATGAAATTTTAGTGCATTAATTAACAGTTTTTTGTTTAGCTGGCCTAGTGCGGAGAGAAGAAAAACGGGATGGAGTGACGATGAATCTGTAGGTTTTTTGTTTTTCTTTACATAGGAAACTACTTGTGGGATTTTAAAAGGATTCTGGAAGTAGATTGTAAGCAAGGAGTTTATTGAAGTATTTGGTGAAGAATGATGGACTCGTTTTATAGGCGATTTTTATGATACTAAATCTATATCGTCCAGGACCGGTGCTCACGTTTTCGAGAGATATTTAAAAATTTGCATAAATTCTTGATGACCGAAAGGGACATCATTTGGTGTGTTAATTTCCAATGATTTCTGACGACTATTATTTTGATTTATTGTGTCCTTTGCTTCGTTGTCTTCGGAAAAATTGTTAAGTATAACAGTGAACGAAGCCAGGCACCAGAGTAAGACTTCAGCAATCTGCCAGAAGATCAACGAAATCACTGGGAGAGAGTCGGACAACGTAGCAGGACTCCTAGATGCAAGGGAAGCAAAGAAATGAGGCGACAACAATTAAATCAGTCGGGGAGGAGAAATTCCAGCAGCCGAGTAAGGCAAGCAAGTGCCACCAGTAAAGGCGAAGTCAAACAATAAAAAAATCGTTAACTATGCCTCAATATTGTGGAAAATATATTATTAAGATAGCAGTTTTTTAACTAAGAAATTTTTCATGTTGTGTCTATGCTAATCTTACCCAATGAAACTCGATTAAATTTAAAGAATATTTCACTTTGTCCTTCAACAAGTATGGTTGAATTCTAATAGTGGAAGGTCTTGATTTATCTTATGCCTTTTATTTATTATTTCAGGCACTCAAAATTTGAGTAATCAGAAAGATTTTTTGGAAATTTAGAATTGCTTACATCCTTTGTCAGAAAAGTTCCAAGACAAAGGTCGTAAAATATAGAAAATTGCATTCACCAAGTCAAGTTCCTAGCTGCTGTCAAAGTAGTACCCTTGGCTATCTATACACAACTTCTAACATTTCTGGGGGTCTTGGAAGCAAGCAGGGAGATTTTCAACTGTGATGCTTGCAAGCTCATTTCTCACAGCCCGTTGGATGTCTTCAATAATCTTGATGAAGTTTTCCTTTCAGTCACATTTTCACTCACAGAAGTAAGAAAAAAACCACAATAATCTTTGACACAAATGTGGGATCACGCCTGTCTCTATCCAATAGTTTAGCAAAAATTCTTCGTCTTTCCTTTTTCTGTTCATATGTTACTGAGTGAGGGAAGATTCTTGCATTAAGTTTCCATTTCCCTAAATCTTCGCGTAAAATCTTATGACACACATCACAATTCAAATTCAGTTCTTCTAATATCATACGCACAGTTACATGACGATCTTCTTGCAATAACTGCCTTACACGCACCATGCTGGCATCAATATGTTCTATAGACGGGCAACTAGCTCTGGGATGGTCTTGCACTTCGTCGAGATGAAAGCCTTCACGAAACCTTTCGTGCCACTCGAAAACACGACTCCTTAAAGTGCCTCGCCTGCATATGCTTTCTTAATCATGTTCCACGTTTCACTAGGGATTTTTCCCAGCTTAACGCAGAACTTAATGCTCACAATCAGCATCCACTGTGTTACCTTAACGAATGCGACAACAATCCGAATAGTGCGTTGCTAAGCACAGCCCTGCCACCTAGTACGTTTGCATGGAAACATGGCCAAGGCCACATGTCAAGTAAGAATACATGCCATGTAACATGAAAGCAACACTTATTCCTTTTTAGTACTGCAGACTCAGAAAAAAAAATGTCCTGGAACGTTTCTGACAAAGCATATACTTTATGAAATATTATCTAAAATGTAATAAAATGTAAGGAAACAATGTAATCATGCACGCACACCAAAAAAAAAAAAAAAGTTACGACAGCAGACATGTGTCTATAGGGCTCTTATTATAAAAATTATAATACCAAAAACTGCTACAATTTAATTGATTAAGGTGCATGTCTATCTCAGAATCATATTTTTTTAATTTGCACAGCATGTAAAACATCATTTAAGTAATATTCCTAAGACCGTTACATGCTTTTAAAATAGCCATTTTTAGCATATCAATATTTATTTTTCTTGTTGCGGATATTTACCTCAGACGTGAAATATTCGATTTCTTTTTATACCTCGAAATCACCTAGATTTAAATGTTAATAATGGTCACACGTAAAATTTCGTCTCATTAGGAACTTTAAAAAAAAATTTTAGTAATACTATAGTTACCTTGTTTTTAGTGTCATTCTTTAAAAATAATCTGTTGTATAGGTATTCCCCGATTTGAAATCAGAGAAACTCGATTATTTCTTGCAAGCAAGTCTGATAGCATTCTTTGGCAGAATAATAAAAGACGACGAACTTACTCAAGTAACTAGAGAAAGATACGGAGACGCGAAAAAGGCTTCTGTGCTTGGATTGTTAAAAGTAAGCGTATTGTGTCGGAACAAAATTTTTAAATGTTTATGGTTATTTATTTTAAATTTGAATTTTCATATATATTTATAGGGTTTTTTATATTTATTTATTTATTTATTGCGTTTTAAAAAATATTATTTTTACATACGGCATTTTGTTCAATCCTGCATTTGTGACCAATTACGGTGCTTTTATGCGTTTATTTTATTTAATACCTTGTAAAGCTTTAAATAAAAAAAAAATAAAAAAAAATCTGAAATGTTTCAGATTTTAAATTACGTCCAAAGGGGCGTTTTTTAACATTTTGTGTGTTACCTTTCTTTATTAAATATCATGTTCCTCGCACTTAAACCATAAGATCCAGTGCAACAGCAATATCGCAAAATAGTTTTAAAACGAGCATATCTTTAGAATTTCCGATACAGAGACTCACGCGCTGGAGATAAAAATGTTTTTTCTGCACAACGTTGCCATTGCTCGCTTTGAAATCCTTGAGTTTGTTAATCAAAAATTCGTCAAAGTTTTAAAAAATAGGAAATCGATCATAAAACAAATTTCAAATTTCAAATTTGGTCTTCCACATGCTCATATTCGTTGGAGGATTACGTCATTCAAAATTCGATGACTCTATGTACCGTTGTTTTATCACAATACGAGAAATATACATACATTTATGCAGATTTTTCATTATTTAATTTCTTCAAATATAATGCAGGACTCTAACATTTTGTGGCAACAGTTTGAAAAGTGAACCGACGTTTATGAGTCCGACGCAAAATGCCAAAACGAAACTAATAGTCCTTCGGGATTCAAATCCCTTTGGACTAATAAACACATAAAAGCATTTATTTTATTTAAAGCTTTCCAAGCTCGGATGTCAAGCTTGTAAAGCTTTAACTCGGATGTCACTAGCATCTATAACTCGGATGTCACTGGCGTTAAGATTGTAAGGGCAACCGCTTACGAAAGCCGAAGTATATGTAAAATACTCTTAACGGACCAGCGCGATAATTTTTGTAACATCGGGGTTGAAAACATCCCTTGATTCTCGTCAGCTTGATGATATTCTGCAAGTTTTCAGAAAATGTGTTTTTTTAAGCCCTAAAAGGGTTTTTCTGAAAAGATTCAGAAATTTCGTATGATATTGCAGAATATAAAATAGTTGTGTGCTGGTTTTGTTTAAAAATAATAATTTCATGTCATTTAATAAAATAACATGAAATAAAAATCTCTTGCGTTGTGTTCGTGCATCAAAGTTATTCAAAACAACTAATAACTGTTAAAAGCCCTAAAATTTACTTTGAATTGTATTAGTGTTTAAATACGTCTAACTTCATAACTCAGCATCTATATGTTATAAGGTATCCTGCCTTCCTAGTGTAGTGGTCAGGACGCTGGGCGCGTATTCCAGAGTTGCGTGGTTCGATTTCCGGCGAGGGCGTTGACCATTTTTCATCTTTCCTGTTCCAAAAAATCCTAATGTCTCTACAACGTATACTTTCGACATTCACTTTCACTTAACACCTATATATATATTTTAGATATTCACTTTCATTTAGCACTACATACTTATTATTATAAGCAGCAAACGTACTTTTGTATTTAGACGGACTGAGGAATTCTTTCTAAGCCTTAAACAGCGGGAGAACTCATTCTGAAGTAACTAAAGAAGATTTCTAAATGTATATGTTACCGTGAAAGACCGAAATTGGAGAATGTCGACTTTCACCGGAGAATATCAACATTCACCAAATACGTCGGTGAAAGACCGAATATTTCACTACATTCTTGTATATTCGGACCCTCACCGGTGTATGTCGACAATCACAGATATGCTCTGGTGAAAAGTCGAAAAGAGAGGTCATAAAGTGCCATAATAGTTTAAGTTGTTGCAATAAATAAGATATGAATCACATAATTTAGTAAGTTTTTTATGACTGTTATTTTATTTTCTCATTTAGAACGTACTGTATAATTAAGTAAGTTTTTAACTTCTATTATTTTCCTTTCTCATTTTGAATGTATTGTGTGTTTTAGGTTCTCATGTTCTTATTTCAAGTCTCAAGTGCGTTTATTCGCGACTGAATGACGGAGAAGAAAATATAATATTGTTATATGTTCAACATTCACCATTAGTACATGGTGAATGTCGACATTGACCGGTGTAAGTCAGAAATAAGAGTATTTGGAAAATATTTCGGACATACACCAAGAGACTATGTGAATGTTGACATTCACCGGTGAAAGTCGACATTCTCCAGATTTCGGTGTTTCACCGTAACATATACGTATATCAAACTGCGCTCATCTTCATTGTCGCTCTAGATAGCTATTCTTTGAAACGGTGTTGATTGTATGGGGTTCTTTACTCGAACTTTCGATTTCTCCTTCTGCTAATACATGACAGTTCCTGTCCATCTATTACTCTAGTCTCTCTCCTTTCGGCTAAACAGGAGCGGGGCTTCGAAAAAGCTCTCAATAATATTTCTTGGCTTTCTTCTTCCACCACTGCATGGCCTTTTGCTGTGAATCCGCTTTGTCCTGCTCTCTTCGTCGAAATGGAGGCATTTATTCATTGCTGGGTCGCGTCATCATGCTCAAAAATGGTAATGAGCCTCAATTCATAGCCATTTTTCCACGGCAAAGCGCACTGTTTTTCGCCATATACGGCAAATTGCTCCTGTTTCGCGAAGTTTTCGTAATCAATAGCTGGGAACATTCGAAATCTCAAAAAAAAAAAAAAAAAAAAAAAAAAACATTTAAAATCACACTTTCATATTTTCTCGCTTGTTAATGTGTTTGTTTACGTAGAAACGTACTTTAGATTTGCAATTTGATTACTTAAACACCCAACGATGAGCATTATTATTATTTGCTTTACAGATTATAAGATTAGTTAGAAACAAGCTCTTTCAATTAAATTAAATAGGTAATAAATTATAAATTACCGTTATAATTAAACGTCACTAAAATGACATAAAATTATTTATGACGTGTTGGGAAAAATAACGATTTATCTGGTGTATTCCTATAGCTATTTAAACATGTTTATCCTATCTATCTGTTATTTATCTATTTATTTGTCTATCTATATGTTTGGCAAGAGTTTCTATTCATCTCAAGTTAGAACAAAAATTCAATATTTTTTTTCTCTTCTTTCTCGCTCACAACAAAATGCTGTAAATATACTGTTATGAAAAGTCCAGCTGCGGTAAGATAGCTTGCCTTCAAAGCGGGTTAAGGGTTGCCAGAAAATGGAAAAGAAAGGTATGGTTGCCGGATTTGGCGCGAAGTCGCCCATTTGGCGAAAAAATTGGCGATATGCCATAGATGGATCGAGAACATTCTGGAACGAGTTCTTCCCGGTTTGCCCCACAATGTTCTCGAAGGCAGGCCAAAAGCTATATAAACCTATATAATAATATATATATTCTTTATGTACTGATATGCAACTATTTTTCTGTATCTATTACAGTTTAGATGCTAAATTTTTTCAAAGAATATTGTAAACCGAAGAATATGAATCATTGTGTACTAAAACTTAAAATTATGAAGCTATAATAATTCTTGCTCTCATAATTATCACAACTAAATTCCTTAAACTGTTCATCAGCCCATTTTACACTGAAACATTTATCAAACTGTTTTCCATTATTCTTTTCTAATTTAAACAGAATATTGAGTCTTAAACTGAATGAAAGTTTGCTACTTTTGCCGAAAACTAAATTTAACAGTTATTTTCCATCTTTCAGAATTTACTAACGATAAACAAGCAAATTCGAAAAGCTCAAACGACTTATGCTAATTATCGGGTTCCAGTTGAGAAATTCAAAACTTCGACAGAGCTTTTCGACCATCTTTTGCAAAGCTGTGCGGAAATCTGTAGCGTAAGTTTAATTTAAATTTAACGTTGTCTTGTCTAAGTTCGTATATCATTAAGCGATCATGTCTGAATTTATGTTTTATCCCATACCCATCGAAATGCCGTTTAGGTTTGCATGAATCATTTGAAGAGTACTCAAGCATCATCACTATGGAATATGTTTATTCTTACAATTCTTGCCAAAGCCAGAGGAGGTGAGTATACTTGCAGTCTTTCTACATTAAAAACTATTGTTAAATATTATGTCTCATGTATATCCTGTTTCAAATCTTTATTAAATAATTTTAGAAGTGAATTATATATTTGGGAATATTCAAAAATGGCAACACTGCAAGCAAGTATTTAGTAATTACGAATAGTACCCCTAGCCTTGTTAGCTTAGTTGGACTTATTTGCCAAGCGGCATCAGCAGTACGTCTTCAGTGCTGCATTGCGCGCGTTCGTGCTGTCAACATGGTTACATCATGCTATTTTTGTGATGTGCGATCACTTAGAATACAATGCAGGCGTGAAATTTTATTTTGTGTGGAAAGCCTGACACTATAGTTATTGCTCCGGCAAACCTTTAAACATATAAATCAGAAGTATATGAGCGGTTTTTCGTATTCAGAAATGGTGACATATCGTATGAAAACGGTTGAGATTGGAATACCCATTGACTAAAGTTGGACGACCTTTACAGGAACTTTTTGATTCAAAGAACTTGTTCACTTTATTGAGTCAATTTACTCCGATTTCAGAAGATGGAATTTTAGCGAAATTTACAATTCAGAGAGAGCTCTAATTGGAAGCGAGCCACGAAAAGAAATCTGCTTTTCATTCACTTTAATGAGCGAGCTAGCACCTGATTGGCGGAAAAAGCTCATTTTGAAAGCTTGTCAGGAAAATTCGATTTTTATTTTAGGGAAGAAAAGAATATTCTCCAACGTTAAAAATAAGTTTAATTTTTAACATTTGCCAACTTTTTGAAAAATGTTTATTCTAGAACTTTATTGTTAGTTCTGTGTAGAAAGGAGATTTCAGAGAATCTCAGAATTACAGTTCAAAGAAGTCAGTTAAGGGATTTAGCGTTTGAGTAAGTCATTTTTTTCTGTTCCTACGCCTCGTCCGATTCTTTTCGTTGTTCCCTTCAACCTCGTTAAACGTTCCGATCCCACTGGTTCGTTAGATTCTTTCCGCTTTTCGTTTCATCCTCGCTAACGGCTCTTGATTCACCCGTTGTTCTGGATCTTTTTCATCGAGGTTATTGTTCGTTAGTGGTGAGTCATAAAAAAGAATAGATTCAGTTCAGTAGTGAACCGTTCTGATCCGATCTCATAAAAGAGCAGTTTGGCCCATCTCTGCAGTTGAGGAGTAGTAGTGAGTAAACGTTAAAAGTAAGGCAGTACGTTGTCGAAATAATAATTCGTCGGATTTCTGAAGAAACTTTCTTCGTCTAGCAGTTCTTAGTTAAGAACAATATAGCGCTTGTGTCTCGTGCAAGCTCTTCTTGCTCGGAACCACTTTTTTTTTTTTTTTTAGTTCTATGGATAAAATAAACAAAAATCAGTAATAATATTTTTTAAAAATTCAGTAATGTGGATGAAGTACGAGAAGAATATTGATTAACTCGAATAATATTCCGTATCAGAAGCTTTAGATATTGCTTTCACGCTTTCAGCAGTGGTCAAAACGTTGACAAGAGTACATCGATACTGGGGATAACATTTTGATGGGGACTTTTCTTTCTTTTCCACATCGATAGAATATTTGGCCTACTAAATTATGGGTCATCAGCCTGTTAAATCCCGTCGATGGATTAAAAAAATAAAACTTAGTGCTAGAAATTATTTGAGATTTTACTTTTAGTATCACGTAGCAGATTCTCCTATGGTTTTGAGTCTGAAATATTTATTTTATAAATTATGATTTCATACAGAAAGAAGTGAATTTTTCTATTGCCATGATATACATGTTTTTACTAAATAGCATGTAAAGAATGTCTTTCTTGAATTTTATTTTAGGATTTAATGATGAAGTTTACCGAGATTTTGCTTCTCTCATAACTACTAGCAGTGATGTAGAAAGTGCTGATGTGCCTTCCGCTATACAAGTAGGCAAACATACAGCAAATCATAATACTAAATGAACTTATTGCTACATGATTCAAGTATTTAATTTATGCAAATACTTGAGATATAACCTAAGAAATTAATACTACTTCTATTAAATTTCAAATCAAATGAATTATGATGAATAACTTTTCACATATTTGTTTTTACAGAGTCTGGCCTTTTACATTTCTAAAGCGACAGATGTAGATGAGTTCAAGAAAATGAGCGTTGAAGTAATATATTGTTCCTCTTCCTCACCTTTCTAGATAACTTTTAAAATTGATCTTACTTTTAAAGCAGGATTCTGTGCATTAACATGCATATCTTAACTCATCCACATATTGTTAAACAGACGACACGCTTTCCCCCCCCCCAAATTCATTTGTAATTAACTCCCGATTAATAGGGGGCGGAATAAGCAGACCCTGTCTAAAAATTATTATCATAAATATTCACCGATATTGTTTTTAATCTTTTCGTCAATATTACTAACGTCATTTATCACGTAGTTCCTTTATCTCAAAGATGTTTATTTTTCGGCTATTTACAATGTGTTCCTTCTTGTGCTGAATACTGACAGCAGATACCGCTTAATGTAATCGCGATAAATGTTATCATTCGGATAGTGTTATCGATTTTGGATCGATATTGTCATTCGGATTTAGGTTAATATAATTGAATTATTATAGAAGAAATTTTTTTAATTAAATTCGCCAAATAATTCTATATCTTCGTCTTTAAATTGAAATAGATTATAAGAATTGCCAAGTGACAGAAAAATATCGCCAAGTGAGCGCTTAGGTCGCCAACCAGTTTGGTTTCAATTTCAGTCAACCGTTTAAAACTAAGCAAAAATGCAACCTTATTTTGGCGTAGATTTTGAACAACTCTAATGATTTTGAGGGCTATCAGAACCGGAACGCGTAATGGCAGACCGCACATTGAGTTCAACAGTGTTAAACGAATGTCGCATACTGCGCATGCTCAGAAACGAATTTGGCGTAATAACTATGTTGGCGCGATTTGAAAAGAAGATAAATACGGTATATGTACCGCCATCTGATTGTAAACAAATCTGGCGTTTTAAACTTCGTAGAGTATAATGTAAATGTAAATTAATTACTGTGTTAAAATACTATTTTTTGCTGTACTGCTCAAACATCTATAAAGCTGAAATTATTGCGAAGTTATGTGAAGCAGTGTTTGCATTCAAAATGTAAGATATAATACTTATGAAATTCTGCACATTTCTTTGGAACTGTACAAATTTTCTTTCAGAAAAAGACTGAAATTTAGGATATATTAGTTGAAAATTTATTCATTATACTTTTAAGCAATAAAAACAATTCAAGATTTACCATACCTTCCATTCGTACGTTCCATTCATACATTCATATATACATAAAAATTCGTACATCCATACATAAAGAAATACTGAGGAATATAACAAGTGCTTGCAAATAACACTGAATTTTACAATTCCTTAATGCTAGTTATTAAATTCTTTAAAATGAGAAAATAAAAGCGCGGATATACGCTAACAAACTAAGCTAGAATCTCCAGTTTACAATTACTGAATTATAACATGTGAACAAATTACATCTAAGTAACGAATTATTACGAACATATGTTAACAAATATTAAATGCACTGTTATTGACAAATTAAAATGAAACATATATTAGAAAAATAAGCAAGTGCAATCGGTATGGACGTTAAAATAACTAATTAGCAAAGTTCCACAACATTGCAGTTGTAAACATCACTCGAACACACTCGACAGCCATGGAGATCACGAATAAGCTAGCGTAGGGTTGCTTTTAGTCGCCAATATTTCTCCCCGCGCCAAAGGTCGCATCAAGCATGCGCAGTAAGCGAAATTCGCTTAACACTGTTCAACTCAATGTGCGGTTTGCCATTACGCAACCGGGACCTTCTTCTTCAAAAACAAAAAATATTCTGAAGAATTTTTTTCTCTTTCCCGGGATGGGGGGGGGAATCTCTGAAACGTCTGTGACAAACTTTTATTTCCCCCCCCCCCGATGGCGGGCATTGGCCACTCCTAAGGCCAGAAGTGGTGACCATTTCATTGTGCGGGCACCTAATAAGCGGCCATCGTTACCTCCTATGAAGAGACAGACAATTTTACATCCATGTCTTCTAGAGGATTCGAGCCTGAGCCCTTTGGTATCGCAGTCAGGCTTCCCTAACCACTATACCGTCTTGCTTCTCTGCTTATTTTAAAATTTTGCATTAGTATGTTCTCTTCCAATGAGGATGTCTTCCGAATGTTAAGATTAGGAATGCAGCGCCGGTGAAATAATCTCCAGAAACTTTATGAACTGCTTTAGAGATATTATGAAAAATTCATAAACAAAGTTTTGTGTTTTCTTAATTAAAATGCTGTGAAAATATCTATTAATATGTTTCCTGATATTTTGCTTTTTCTCATCGTTTAAATGTTGTCAAAGTAGCTGTTGACGAATGCGATCACATTAAGCGGCGCCTACTGTAAACAACTAAGCTTACACTCTGGATTAAACTGCTTGAAAATATAATTATGAATTGTTGAAAACATTTTTGTATGAATTGCAGTATTCTCTGTATTTTTTGACTACCCCAACGTAACTGTGGTTTTGAGTTAAATGAGGACGTCATCCTCAAAACTATTCACAATACAGTCAGTCACAAATCATTGTATATAATGTTTTAGTTTGGTAACGTTCTAAATCATGCCATTGCGAACGGAGTTATGAGTAATGGCTAGTGATGTATGTAGTACGTGATAAATAAGCTCTCGAAAGCCTATTAGTAAAAGCAATTCTAAACAATTATTTTATGCTAAAATAGCTAATAATAAGTAACAGGAATAATGCTATTAATATTAACTGCTGTGAAGTGGTAAATTTTCAAAACTATAGCTTCAAGAGTTAAATAAAATTTTTCTTCCCTTATACATGAGTGAAAAGACCTATGCCTATGTGAGAAAACAGAGAGGAGAAATTCGAGAATGCTCTTGTTAGGCTGGTATCACACATTCATTTGTTTCGGACGAACAGCTGTTTCAAACAATTTGCCTACTTCTCATCACTGAAAAAAAGAAAGATGCACCACTTTGTTGTTCCTTTCGGGGGAAAAATGCTTCCCAATGGCTGTGGCACTAGCCATTATAGGCGATGGCCACTACTAAGGCAGGAAGCGGTAGTCTATTATTAGAGGCATCTAATGCGTGGGCCACCGTCGCCTCGCATAGGAATAGAGAATTTACATCCATGCCTTCTCCGAGGTTCGAACCCGCGCCCTTCGGTATGGCAGTCAAAATCATTCATATGGGCGGCACGCAAAAAATTGTAAGTTTTTCATTTTCAATAACAAATCAGCTATCAGCATCGATCCCCCATCATCAACCATCATTCGTAATGAAGAAGTGGTTTTTCCCTTAACAGGGTAAACCCAAAGTGATCCGTAGCCATTTGCCTTTTTATATCATGTGACGACGCAGCCAAAGTGTACTAAAGAGTTGTTCTTCCGAAATTTTTGAATGTCTGATACTACCTTTAAATGATAAGAAACGAAGTCCCTAACGCCATTCTTTCACCGAAAAGTGAAGGAAAAGCAACTAAGAAGATTTTTGAAACACTTCCTGAAGTTTCACGTCCATCAAAATCTTTGACATCTAATCCCTTTTTACCATCAACTTTGGAAGACTTTTCTTCGAATTCAATCTTCAAAAAAATTTCTTCTTATTTATTCTCTGAAATTATTGTCAGGAAAGTTTACTCATGGTTAAATTAATTTCTGTTGCTTATTATTTATTGGTTTAGAAGTTAGTTCTTCAGAGCATTCTTTTGTTACAACTATGTTATTCTTGATAGTGGTTATTATATTATTTCTAGAGGAAAGCTAAGTACCTATAGCCTTGAAATATCTTTAAAATCCCAGCTGATCTATTTTGTAAGTGTACTTTTTCTCTGGAAATTTTTTCTTTGGAAATTAACCTTTGCAAATTTGAGTCTAATTTCAGAATTTTACTTGATTTACAAGCATGGTGATTAGTACACAATTTGATTGATGCATTTCACTGAAACAGTTTCGAAGTCAAGCATTATATTCTAAAAATTTCTAATGCAATAAATTTAGTTTCTTGCCGATTATGCTTTAAAATATCGATATTAATTTACAGAGTCATTTGTATCGCTGCATTTACTTATTCCCGTTTCTACCAAAAGCATAATTTAGATTTATGTTAATGTAGAGCACATTTTAAGGAACCGTAATTAAAAATGAATTTTTTCAGAAGAGTATTTCAATATACTAATAGTGGGAAAATGTTTTATTTATATAGTTTAAATAAAATGTTACAAAAGGGCAGTAAATATTCGTGTTTTGTTAGTTTTAAAATATTAGTTTCGTAAAAATCACGAAATCTAATTCCTTAACAGTTCTTTGTGTTATACTTTGTATCATTTAGTATGAGTTTATACTTATTAAAGCACAAGACGTTTGAATTTCCATACAGAAATTGAACGCGATATTTAATTTCAAAACTTTCTATCTTTTTCGACTGATTTGTTTCCTTTAATGCAACCTAGTGATGCTCTCGTATGATTTACTAGTGTGTAACATTTTTTAGTAACTTTTGTTTTGTTTGTTATAACTCGTACGACGAAAGAATTTGCGATGGCTAAAAATAAGTTAATGTAGTTTTATCATTTTAGAATCATAATCTAAAGATCAAACAAAGAAATTTAGGAATAAGAATTATTTGTTATTTTTTTTAATTTATGCAAATAATGTTATGAATCCGCTTTGTGCTAACACTGAAACCTGAATGTTTCCTGTACACGAATTCTATAAGATTTTGTGAATTTGCAGTGATTGTATCGTGAAAAGCAATGTTCTTTCTTTATTTTACCTATTAATATCAGAAACCTTTTTTCTAAATTGATAATTTTATATTTAGTCATGTATGATGGCAAACATTTCACTCTCCAGTTTATATGTGATCCCTAAATATATACTCAAAATTTAAAATTAAACATCTAGGACAATTTTTCTCGTATATAACTGAAATATGTGGTTTATTTTTCTAAAATGAACATAAACTTTTATTAAGTTTAACTAGCCGTATAAAAAGTTACATTTTTTAATTTTATAAAATCATTTTTTTTTAAATTTTAATATGTCAAAAAAAGGAAAATCTTTCTTATTTAAAATATTTTTGCAGTTTGAAGTATACGTCGAAGGCAAAGAGAACTGAAAAATCAGTGTTAAAACTTATTTGAGAAAAAAAGTAAAAAACTGTCTTTTCAGATGTAACGAGACGTCCCCAGTATTAAAAAATACAAGCATAAAACAAAACAAATTTCATACGATTATTTATTCTAAACATGTACAATATTAAGTTATGTCATATGCCAATGTATGTAGCCCCCATAACAACCTGTTTACTTATATATACAGAAAATCAAATAAATTCTAGGCATACCCGCTTAGAATTTATTTGATTTTGTGCATAGTATAAGTAAATAGGTTGTTACTGTGTTCTACAAACATTGGTATAGTACATAACTTAGTTTTGCTACTGTCTGAAGAATAATCTGTCGTATCACATACTCTAAAAGTTAAGAAAACAATTTTTAAAGGTGTTTTTTTTTAACATGAAAAAAGTTAAAAAAACAATTTTTAAAGGTTTTTTTTTTTTTTTTTTTTTTTTTTTTAAACATGAAAATACAAAATTGGAACCGTCTGTTGATATTTCACGTTGCAGAAAATCTAAATTTAAATCAGGCAAAAGTGAGAATCGTTAAAAACAAATATTTGCTTTTAAAAGTTTTCGAAATGCATCCCTGTGTTTTGGATTAGTTGTTAATCTCGTACGGTTTCACATAACACGGTATTTTTGTTAGGAACCTATCTACCATGGTGTAGGAGGGATACCTGTATTGTTACTAATAACAGTATTGTGTTATGTACAAAGCACCACAGTGTTAGTACAGAGGCTGTTCGCACATTTTTTAGACGATTTTGGTAAGCGGTAATAAAACCTCGTTCGCTGCAAAAGAAGTAATTGCAATTGTAGTAGTATGCCTTTAAAAGTCAAACTTATCGTCTGTGGCTTGAAAGTTTTGTTTTTATTCAAAATGGCGAATTTACAAAGCAGTGGTTCGAAGGCTACATTGACGCTCTTTCCGAAGAGAAATATGCATATTCCGTTATCCAAAAACGATGTGAGAGTCATGGTTTTGTGATATCTAAAGCGTCGATAGGTAATATCATCAACAAGAAAAGGAAACAAACCTCAAATTGGGAGCCTCAAGTGGGACAAAAATTCCAAACAAGTATCCAAGGAAAAATCGGACATCTTTCGACTATTGCAAAGGTACGTTGTTTAACGTTAAAAGAAAATTCCCCTAGTCAAAGGACACTTGCAAAATCATTAAAATGCTCGGTGTCCACTGTAAACAAAATGATAAACGTTGAATTAAATCTTAAGAAAGCGAAAAAACGCAATGTGCATCGTCTTCTACCAAAGCATATCGCTCAACGCAGGACACGCTGCAGAATTCTATATGAGAAACACTTATCCAAAGAAAAATGGAAAACAATTGTCACTATAGATGAAGCATAAAATGATTGTAACAAAAAAAGAGCCATTTATTATCATAAAAGAGGAGAAAAAAATTTAAGTACATGGTTCAAAGAATCGAAAGAAATTTTTTTCTAAGGGATTCATGATTGTTGCTGGTTTTTCTTATAATGGCAAGTTAAAAATAAAGAGTGCAAAAAAATGTCAAGATTAACTCCAAATACTATCAGGAACATATTTTATCGCCAATTTTTCTGAATGAAATACCATCGCTTTACCCACAGTGCCATCCATCTGTGAGACTCCATCAAAGCTAGCAGTCACACATCAAAATCCACTGTCAATTTCCTAAAAGAAATGGAACAAAAAACTGGTATCGAGGCCATGCTCTTCACTGATATCCCTACTCAATCTCCCGATGCGTCACCTATGGATTTTTGTGCTTTCGGACTTTTAAAAACTGCACTATCCAAACGTTGTCCCAAAACCCTAACAGGACTCCGGAAAGCTGTTCGGGAGGAATGGGATAGAACACCTCTTCTGCCACTTCAAAAGGCATTATTATCCTGGAAATTGCGGTGTCGAAAGATAGTTCAGAATAAGGGATGTCAAACGGAACATTTAAAACACAAGAATTTTATGTAATTTAAATTTGTGAATACGATATACATCGTCTGAAAAATGTGTGAACAGCCTCTGTATAAATTATCAAGTAATGACATAAGAAGTTATTACTGTATTCAATTTGTAGAGTTCCTCACTCTTTTTGTACTAAAATAAACTTTGAGGAACATAGTGAACTTGTTACCGATTTATCGCTGAGTTCGAACAACTAAAGACGTAGACTCAAGAAGGGTTAACTACCCTTTATTTCACTCAAAATAAGATGAACAGTCGGCCTCTCTCTCGGGCTTATAACAAAGCTTCCACTTCAGCTTAAACTCAGAATAAGGAATAAGAACTAAATTAGAACTAACTAAGAGACTTAGTCGAAGCTAAACACAAGTATCTAAGGTAGTTGTCCCTGAATTTAAACTAGCCGGCGAATAACAAAAGGCACGTAATATCCGGCCAAGCGTGACATCATCAAAAGGGATTTAGCCCAAAGGCAAACAAGCACTACTCAGGATTCCTAGCTTTCTCTCGTGAATTAAGTTGAACCTTCCTTAAATACTACTTCTGACTCATTTGCATTCAATGCGATTCTAAAAACTCATTCTGGTAGGGAGTTGTAAATGGAAACAATAATCGCTATGAAAGCACTTTGAAATGAAAATAACTGTTGTAAAATTAAAATGTACCTTACAAATTCATTTCAGATTTATCCTTTATTTTTAAAGCAAACTGGGGATATTTTCTTTAAACCTTCATTGCTCTCACGAAATTACTTGCTTACAAATCGCGTCAATTTACTACTAATAATTAATGGAATAAAATCTGGAAAAGTAATAAAGTAAAATTAAGGAAAGTATATAGGTATAGTCGCCATAAACTTATTATATCAAGCATCTAATTGATTATAAATCTTTGAAAACCAAAATAATGATAACAATATATTTGGTATATAAACAATTATATTTGGTTTTGAAATGATAAGGGGTGATAATATTTTTGATCGATGATGATGAAAATAATGATAATAACGTATTTTGTTATGATGTTTTTCCTTCACACAGGAAGCTTTGAATTGGCTGCAAACAACAACTTCTACGGCAGGAAGAAAATTCCAAGAATTTTTGCTGAAACATGGTCATAGATGTTTAGGTGAAGTACGTAGTCTTCGATATTTTAAGCATAATTCAACCGCCAGATCCAGAAATTTTCTGTATTACTGCTACTAAAATATTTATCATCAAGTATATAATGCGTTAAAAGAAAACATCCTCCCTCAAACTCAGCAATTTACGTTTCGGAGATATTTTCATTTTAAAAAAAATATCCGTACGGAATCAGCCAAATCAAATGTCAAAATTAGTTCGCTGATCAAATGATTCTGACAAAGCATGCAAGGGAAAACTGCCAGAGAAGTCTCTGGCAGTTTTCTCTTATAGTACAATTTATTAAACATTTTTAATATTTTTTTTCTTTCCGAACTATTTTGTGTTTTTTTGATATTGGCCACCTCTAAGGCCGGAAGTGGTGGCCATTTGATTGTGGATACACGTAACAGGCAGCCACGTTACTTCCTCTAAAAGGACGGACAGTTACAACCATGCTTTCCCGGACGCGTAATGGCATACCGCACATTGAGTTGAACAGTGTTAAACGAATGTCGGATACTGCGCATGGCCAGAAAACAATTTGGCGTAATTACTGTGTTGGCGCGATGAAAAGAAGATAAATACGGTATATGGTAGATGTACCGCCATCTGATTGTAAACAAATCTGGTGTTTAAATCTTCGTAGAGTATAACGTAAATGTAAATTAATTACCGTGTTAAAATACTATTTTTTGCTGTACTGCTCAAACAACTAGAAAACTTGCGAAAAAAATTATTGCGAAGTAATGTGAAGCAGTGTTTGCATTCAAAATGTAAAATATAATACCTATGAAATTCTGCACATTCCTTTGGAACTGTACAAATTTTCGTTCAGAAAAGGACTGAAATTTAGGATATATTAGTTGAAAATTTATTTATTATACTTTTAAGCAATAAAAACAATTCAGGATTTACCATACGTTCCATTCGTACATACATAAAGAAACACTGAGGAATATAACAAGTGCTTGCAAATAACACTGAAGAAAATTTTACAATTAATGCTAGTTATTAAATTCTTTGAAATGAAGAAAATAAAAGCGCGAATATACGCTTAACAAACTAAGCGAGATAAATCCAGTTTAACAATTACTGAATTATAACATATAAACAAATTACATCTTAAATAACGAATTATGGCACAACATATGTTAAAAAATATTAAATGCACTGTTATTGACAAATTGCAATGAAATATATATTAGAAAAATAAGGCAAGTGCAATCGGGTATGGACGTTAAAATAAACTAATAAACAAAGTTCCACATCACTTACAGTTGTAAACATCATTCGAACACACTCGACAGCCATGGTGATCACGAATAAGCTAGCGTAGGGTTGCTTATTCGCCAATATTTCTCCCCGCGCCAAAGGTACACCATCAAGCATGCGCAGTAAGCGAAATTTGCTTAACATTATTCAACTCAATGTGCGGTCTGCCATTACGCTTCCCGGACCCAGCTCCAGCATTTATTCTATCTGAAGCGCCTCCAGTGGGCACCTACCTTACGACAAACATGCAGATTGCGTGTTATTCTCGGCATATAGCAGAACTTGGAACCATGCCTTCTCCGGGATTGGAACTCGGGCTCTTCGCTATCATAGTCGGCATCTCTAACCACTGTACGATCTGGGTGGCTATATTTTTAATTTTCTTTGAACTTTCTTATTGTCTCTTTCTTGTGTTACTGTTCTTCGGACTCATAGCCCGAAAAACATCGTCACTTGCACCCCTGGCTTCTAAAAAAGTTTGAAATTTTTCTACAGACTCAAAAGCCGTTGAATATGTTGGGGGTGGGTGCAGCTTGAAATTCTTCGCATTCGTCGTTATCATCGTCGCTTTCATTATTTTTTCACATACTTAGCTTGCATTTCAGCTACAATATCTTCTTGAGGTCCATCAGCGGCCGAGCGATAAAAGCGCTGAACACTGGTAGTTCGGTCCGGGGTTCGAGTCCCGGCGAACGGGTTGGCTGCATGGGCGTTTTCGTAATTTTTCCCATGTGTAACGTGGATACGAGCTAGTTTCCCTTAAAAAAAGTTTAATATGATAGTTTCCCTTAAAAATACCTCCACGGGGGATTCCTCCCTTTCCGTGTAGTGGAGCACGTAAAAAGTAAAATATAGATATATATCTTCTTAAGTAGGTATCTAAGAAATGATAACTTTGGCGTCAACAGATACATTATAAGGTCTTTCTCCCACTTTCCTAGAGTGCCTTCGTGGGGTAAGGGTGGCACGCTAGGCCGGTATTCCAGAGGTCCGTGGTTCGATTCCCGGTGAAGGCCGTTGCATATTTTTCATCTTTTCTGCTTCCAATTAACCTAATGACTCTACAAGTGGCGCCCGAACTAAAAGGGTTGTGGATGATGATTCTCCGCACCCAGGATTTGGCGACTAAGTCCCCTAAAGACCCTAGTCGCCCTTTAAAAAGGGAAGTATATAAGGTATTTCTCCCACTTTCCTAGCGTCCCTTCGTGGTGTAACGGTAGCACGCTGGGCCGGTATTCCAGAGGTCCGTGGTTCGATTCCCGACGAAGGACGTTGCATATTTTTCATCTTTTCTGCTTCCAATTAACCTAATGACTCTACAACATAATTTTCAAATTCTTCTCTACTCATTTCCAAATTTTCTAAGACGTCTACTTCTTTTTCTTCTTCAGTGATTTGCCTCTCTTGAGAAGTGTCCAATCCAGCCTTACGGAAGCAATTGTTAGTCCACGTTGATGTAATGTTTTCCCATACATCCTCCACTAAACGTGTCGCTTCGACTACGTTTACATTAGCATTTCAGATTGTTAAAGAAATTTTTTTAAGAAAGGATTAGCTGAGCTGGAGAGGTGGAAGTCAATTGAAATTTTATGAATCGCAAAAATATTGCTCGCTATAACCGAGATTTGCTAGTTAAAAGCAAGTTATGCCCCATTGTATCAACAAAGTATTTTCGATTTACTCGTTAAATCCAAGTTCTCATTAAGTCAGGCCTCGTTATAAGCGAGTTTTACTGTAATTTAAATCTTTATTTTTTAACAATTTATATAATTAATATAAACTGAAATATGTTTAATTCATAGTATTTTCGCTTGATAATTTATGTGAACATTTGCAGCTTAGGTGTAATTAATTAAAGTTGTTTTAATATTTGTATGTTAGATAATTTATACAGTTTTTTTCTCGTTTTTATGTTTTATTATTTTTAATTTAAAAATTATTTTAATTTCTAATGGTAACTTTTTTTTACATGTTTATCCGACAATCTGAAACTTTCAGATTATAATTTTCTGTTATTGCTTGTTGGATTAATTCGGCTACAGAAAACATTTTCTTATTCACATTATTTTTATACAAAATTCTATGAGAATAAAAGTTTTATATAACTTTAATGAAAACTATCATGCTATCAAAATTGATACAGAACTTTTACGATAATTTTTTTTTTAATTGGAATCTTGGGTGTTTGACTACCTTATCTGAATAGTTAGTCTAACCGATTGGCAATCTTTTAAAACACTCTATATAATTTGTTAAAATTAAAACATTGAATAATTCTAGGATAAAACCTCAAATTTTAGTAAGAAAGGCTAAATATAATACCTTAATGCTAAACTTCATCAAATGATAATAGTTTTCATATTTTTGCTTCCTAGGTTATTTTGAATTTTAAGAAATGCAGTAACTGTTTTTAATTTCATGAAGTCTGAATCTAAGAATTTATATTTAAAATTAGGCAAAAAATGCAATCTTGGATTGGCTTAAATTTTGAAAATCTTTAGCGATTTCAAGTACAATCAAACATAAGTCTCTTTCTTCAGAACCATCCCTTTACCTTTTTGCAGCTTAAGAAGCTTTTAAATTCCAAATCTACGCCAATCCAAGGTTGTCTTTATATTAAATTTTACGCTGGTGGGTTTTCCCTCCCCCTCTAAATTAGAAAGAACTGGCACTTAACAAAAGCTGCTTTTCCAACTGTTTTTGAATTTTGCAATTTTTTTTTTCTTTTCAGTTTGATATTTATGCAATCCCATGGGGTTCCGATCCAAAGTCATTAGTGAAGCTGCTACAGGTAAATTCATTGAATAAATATAATATTAAATGTATATGTTACGGTGAAACACCGAAATCTGGAGAATGTCGACTTTCACCGGTGAATGTCAACATTCACATAGTCTCTTGGTGTATGTCTGAAATATTTTCCAAATTCTCTTATTTCTGACTTACACCGGTCAATGTCGACATTCACCATGTACTAATGGTGAATGTTGAACATATAACAATATTATATTTTTTCTCCGTCATTCATCAGTCGCGAATAAAAACGCACTTGAGACTTGAAATAAGAACTTAAGAACATGAGAACCTAAAACACACAATACATTCAAAATGAGAAAGGAAAATAATAGTAGTTAAAAACTTACTTAATTATACAGTAACGTTTTCTAAATGAGAAAATAAAATAACAGTAATAAAAAAACTTACTAAATTATGTGATTCAAATCTTATTTATTGCAACAACTTAAACTATTATGGCACTTTATGACCTCTCTTTTCGACTTTCACCAGAGCATATCTGTGATTGTCGACATACACCGGTGAGGGTTCGAATATACAAGAATGTAGTGAAATATTCGGTCTTTCACCGACGTATTTGGTGAATGTTGATATTCTCCGGTGAAAGTCGACATTCTCCAATTTCGGTCTTTCACGGTAACATATGTTAAACATTGTCATTTCATTTCAGAACCTCAATCATTTGACAACAACGACACCAAAACCGTGCTGGTGCCCTTCTGATAACAACATTTGTCAACGCTGCTGCCGAATGAGAAAAGAATGTTTAAGACATGATTAATATTGTCTCTTTGAAATTATGATACTTTGAACAGTTCAAGCCAAATGAACACTTGATGCTATTTCGCTTACAGATACTTCTTGTAAACTAGCTCAGCGGTGAATAACATTTGTACATGCGAGGACTAATTTAAGATGTTTGTTTACGCCACGCCTAAATACCTCAAAATATTGCAAAGAAAAACGTATCTGAAATGTAATCATGGTTTGATATATTATAAGATGTTACTAACAGTTATCTTTCTAGTTAAAGCTACTTTCTTTTAAAGGCCTATAGATAGCTTTAGTTAAAGCTACTTTTCCTTGCACAATCTCGGTCTCTCTTCCCCCCCCCATCGTTGCTCCTCTTTTGCTCTCTTCCACTTTGCTGTAGCAACACGCTGCTGCCTGTTGCCTTAAAAAGTAGGTTTCTCAAGTTTATCTTATGTGAAATGGTCTTGAAGGGGTATCAGCAACCTATATACCGACAATGCTAAATTGGCCATTTTCGATGCCATAATCTGCTATAGATACACACTTGAAATTTTTTGTGTAATTAAAGTATACCTATCTGATTATACTGAAATGAGCTTTTGAAACATTTTAAATTTTAGAGTAATTTACAGAATATTTTGATAGACATAGTAAAATTCAGCGCTTTTCTCACACACACACACACAAAATTTTAATATTTTTTCTCACTTTATCACAAAAAGCTCATTTCAGAAAATATTAGGAAACCTAATAAATAAGCCCTAAAAATTTTAGATACCTGTGAGCAGTAGTTCCTGAGAAAAGGACATCGAATATAAAAAAATCACGTTTGAAGTTGTTTGTTCATAAACAAGAAGTTGTTGTTGTTTGTTACATAAAATGTGTTGTAAGGATCTTAAGTTTTACTAACGTTTATTTTATTTTAAATCTTTACTATCACTTCTTATTTTCTACTTCCGGCCAGAATTAAAAGCGTTAACTTATTTATGCAAAATTTGTCTGGCGAACGCCAAGTACTTAAGTTGTGGCTTTTTGCCAAGCGAGAGAGAGGAAGGAGTTAGTCGAAGCAGGCCGCTTGCCTTAGAAGTTTTATTCAGTTGCTGTTTGCCTTCCAGGCCAGAGGTTTAATCCTCGTGATAATTTTAAACGTATTGTAGTGTTAACAATTCTCTGTACTACATACGGCTTCCTGTTAATATAAGGCCAATCTTCCACGTTTATTATTCCAAATTTAAGTTAGAGTTTAGTTATATTTTTATATTCTTACGTTCAGACCACAAGTAGTTGGTCTCTGTATTCCGAAGTACGGAAATTATTGTAAAGAGTGAAAAATAAAGGGTTTTGTATACCCTTCCTGTGCATCTTGTCTACTTCCCACAGTTACTGAACATAGCTTTAGTAAGCTCCCTGTTCTGAGTCAGGTCTGTGCATGTTCCCAAAGAAAGTAAGACGGAACATTGAACATTGATTTCCTTCTAAATGATGGCTTCAAATAGAACTTAAAATTTCAAGAGTGCACTGATGTTCTTTCACATGTGCACAAAAATGTGTGTAGTTCGGATTATACCAGTATATTTATGCTTGGCGAGACTTTAAACGTAAATGTACTGATGCGCTGTTTATTGACAGGAATTTTTGTTACATTCTAGACATACCCATAAGTCGCTTTAGAGACTTAGGGTATGTTACTAAAATTAATGTGTGTACAAAACTCACGAAATGAATCAAAAACTGCATTGTACACAACGTTTCGATTAAGGGGTATCAGAAACCCCTATACCAACAATGTTAAATTGGCCATTTTCGATGTACTTTTTCTCAAAATCTGCTGTAGATACAAGCTTGAAATTTTTTCTGTAATTAAAGTATACCTATCTGATTATACTGGAATAAGCTTTTGAAGCATTTTCAATTTTAGAGTAAATTACAGAATATTTTGTTAGGCATAGTAAAATTTAGCACTTTTCTCGCACAAAAAAAAAAAAATAAAAAAAATTTTTTTTTTTCTAAGTTTATTACAAAAAGCTCATTTCAGTAAATATTAGGGAACCTAATAAATAAGCCATATAAAGTTTAGATACCTGTGAGCAGTAGTTCTTGAGAAAAGGTACATTGAGTATAAAAAATCACGTTTGGAGAAAAACGTGTTTTTATGTAAAAATCCTCATTTATCAAAGCAATTAAAACTATATTTTTACACTTTTAATTTTCATAGAGATTAAAGAATGGTATATTTAGAAAGATAAAAGTGTAGAGAATTTGAAAATGCAAAAATCCGAAATCCCCATTTTTTAAAGATTTTTGGATTCCAACACCTCTTAAGAACGAGGCGCTGTAGCGCCGATTTGACTTGTGTTGTATTAAATAAAAACGTACTTCAGTCCTGAACAACAAAGAGGAAACAACTGAATATTGGGCATGTCTGCAAGTTTCTGGTTTATGCATCCATCTACCACGACAAATTACTGCAACGAAGCTCTTCCAAGTCATTAACACACGCACAAACACACACACATATATATAAATACTATCAAATAATACACATATATATATATGTACTATCGAAGGCCGAAAATATGCGGACATCAGAAAATACATAATAAATAACAATTACAGTAATAATAAGTTTTACCAACCAAAAGCCACAGAAAGGAATAACCCGAGCTCTCAGTTGGCCAGTTTTAGTACAAAATATTTCACTCACACTTGTGACATGAAATAATCTTTTTGTTGAAGTTTCTGTACACAAGGGTTTCTAAAATACATTGGTTTCTAGATTTTTTTATTATTTTTTTATAAGGAATTAATTTTTTAGGAAAAAGTTTAATTCTTGACTTTACTTGCTTGTTTCTCAAGGGACTTCATTAGTGTTTTCCTTTTTGAACTTTAATTCTTAAATGTTAATTCTTAAATGTTAATTTCTAGGGGTACCACTTTCTTGGAATTATTTTTGACTTTTACCCTTGCCTACATGAATGACGAAACACGAATTGAATGATTGGAGAGTTAGGTTTGGAGGCAACTTCCCCTTGATAAGTCTGTCTCCTGCCTACTCAACGGTCATTCACATATGCATTTTTTTAAAAAAAATTGTTTAATTAGTCCAAAGGGATTTGAATCCCGAAGGACTATTAGTTTCGTTTTGGCATTTTGCGTCGGACTCATAAATGTCGGTTCACTTTTCAAACTGTTGCCACAAAATGTTAGAGTCCTGCATTATATTTGAAGAAATTAAATAATGAAAAATCTGCATAAATGTATGTATATTTCTCGTATTGTGATAAAACAACGGTACATAGAGTCATCGAATTTTGAATAACGTAATCCTCCAACGAATATGAGCATGTGGAAGACCAAATTTGAAATTTGAAATTTGTTTTATGATCGATTTCCTATTTTTTTAAAAACTTTGACGAAATTTTTGATTAACAAACTCAAGGATTTCAAAGCGAGCAATGGCAACGTTGTGAAGAAAAAAACATTTTTATCTCCAGCGCGTGTGAGTCTCTGTATCGGAAATTCTAAAGATATGCTCGTTTTAAAACTATTTTGCGATATTGCTGTTGCACTGGATCTTATGGTTTAAGTGCGAGGAACATGATATTTAATAAAGAAAGGTAACACACAAAATGTTAAAAAACGCCCCTTTGGACGTAATTTAAAATCTGAAACATTTCAGATTTTGTTATTTTTTTTAAATTTTAATTTATTAAATTAGTAAATTTATTTTCATGGATTGATTTTGCACTTGATTTTCTTATGCTTCTGAATTTAAATGATATTGTAGATTAGTTCGAGAATTAAATCTTTTACATGTTTGCACATTTTTTTAAAAAATTATTTTGGCTTTTTTCCTTTTTTTAGAATTTAAATTTGCTTTTTTACTTTTATACGTATTAGATAAAAATTAAATTTAAATTTGTTTAAATTTAAATTTCATTCCTTGCAGCAACGGCGCAAAGAATATTTAATTAAATATGTATTTAAATTAATTTTTTTAATTAAATTTATTCTTATAAAACAATATATATATATAATTGAAAAAGAAAATGTAAAGCGAACTGGCAATTAGACTTTAGCAAGGTCGCTGCAATGTTCCTACCTACTACTATATATATAATATATATATATATATATATGTGTTACCGTGAAAGACCGAAATTGGTTTGGTTTGGTTTATTAGATTACGGCAAAGCGCTTGAGGGCTATCTGCCCCTTAAGGGAGAGATGCCTTCGTGGAGGACTTTTTAACAGACCGAAATTGGATAATGTCGAATTTCACCGAAGAATGTCGACAGTCAGCAAATACGTCGGTGAAAGATCGAATATTGCATTACATTCTTGTAGATTCAGACTCTCACCGGTGTAATCACAGATATGCTCTGGTGTAGGTCGAAAAGAGAGTTTATAAAGTGTCACAATAGTTTAAGTTGTTGCAATAAATAAGATTTGAATCACATAATTTAGTAAGCTTTTTATTACTATTATTTTATTTTCTCATTTAGTACGTACTGTATAATTAAGTACGTTTTTTTATTTTTCTTTCTTATTTTGAATATACTGTGTGCTTTAAGTTCTTATTTTAAGTCTCAAGTGCGTTTTTTCGCGACTGAATTACGGAGAAGAAAATATAATATAATATGTTACATTATATTTTCAAATATGAAAATATAATATGTTCAACATTTACCGTTAGTACATGGTGAATATCGACATTTACCGGTATAAGTCAGAAATAAGAGTATTTGGAAAATATTTCGGACATACACCAAGTGACTATGTGAATGTTGACATTCAATGGTGAAAGTCGACATTCTCCAGATTTCTGTGTTTCACCGTAACATATACGTACGTACATATATACATTCAAATGAATTAGGTTTTCAATTAAATTTTACTTTGTATTTATTCATTTATATATATTACCTATATATATTACCTAATTGTTTCAGAATCTAGCTGGAAATGTATCTCAGGATTTCTCAAAGAAGCACTCAGACAACATAAATGAAATGCTCTCTCGGCTTTCTATTCCCTTGGGATTCTTTTCCAGGTATTTGTGAAAATTTAATCTCCTCTTAAAAATGGCCTATTTTGCCTTCAAAAAGGCAAATACACATATTACTTTCTTAATGAGTAGTTCCGGCCTCTACACGAAGATTTTTCAATATGAATAAAGATAAAGATCTTTGACAGCAATGTTCTTAAAAAGAACTGGTACCTTTTTTGCGAAGTGTCGTTGGACAAACAGCTTTTAATTGATTTTTCTAATTAATTTAATTACGATTACTATTAAGATGGCAAAGACAGTGAAATTCTCTTTAGCAATATATTGGCGAAGTATTATACCGGTAGATTATTTTATCCTCTCGTTAGAAACATAATGGGCAAGAAAGGAACTAAGAGCGATTTACATAACAATGTGTTTTTGTAAGCAATAGCACTGACGGGATGCTCCATTCAGGTCGAAAAGGAATATTTTCACGGCGACATTATAGTAAAAATAAAACTTTTTTGAGCCACAAATATTGACATTGATCTGTTCGTTAAGCAGAATTCGAAAAATGAATTAAAAGTAGGCTTTTGCTTGTCTCCTGTTCGTGCAGAGAATAAACTAAACATTTTAAATTTTGCATGATTGCAACTCTAGAAGAAGCAAATGCACTTTTGCACACACACGGTGGGGGGAGTTATATAAATTTCTCGTTGGGCCAATACACGAAATTTAATTTGCGTTTTTCATGTCTCGAAAGCATGATTTAGGATATATATTATATTTATACACAGCAATTGCTCTAACATAGATATTTTGACACAAATTCATACTTTTTTTAATGATCAGAATTTTTCTCCATATTTCAATTCTATGGCTCAAATTGTCGATAAATATTAATTTATGTAAAATTAGATGAGAAACTCCCAAAGAAATTTAAAAATTTATCTTGGCACACTATTTTCAAGTTTGCGTAAAAATTATTCATTAAATTGTTAATTCATGGTAACATATTTTCTTCTCCCTTTCAAGAGGTCCTCTCCCTTACAAGAGGAAGAAAAAGGACATTTCTCATTCTTTCAAATAATTTTAACAAAGTACGTAAGCTACATTTAGCATTATTATCACTTACAACACATATGCCAAATTTCTAAACGCTCCAGTTGATGAATTCACGTATATCGTGGGAAATTTCGAATAAAAAATTCTAAATTTTTGCAGGTACGCCTAGAAATACATCTATTTTAAAGCGATTGTAAAAAATGTTATAGGCTATAATATAAAAAATTGTTCCAAAAATTTATTAAAATTTTTTTATTTGGATTGAATCTAAATTTCGAATTGTGAAAGAAGAAATCAATTAAGTTTAATAAAAAAGATATATTAATAGATACACAGCCAATTCAATTAACATTGAGGAGATAAAATTTTGAGAGCTAATTTTTAAAAACTGTTAATGCGATTTTTAAAAAATTAGGCACTTTGGCATAATTTGAGTCGTAAAATCGAAAAATGGGAAAAACATCGGTATGTCATTTCAGCCAAACTCCGATTTTATGTCAAAATACCTATGTTAGAATAATGTTATATATAAATCTAATACATACCCTGAAGTTAAATTTCATGAATCAGCCCATCAGGATGAGAAATATAGAACTGTCTTTTTTTTTTCTATGCAGAGTGTACATAATAAATGCATAATAACAGATATTTTGAAACTACTTTTGTAATATCAGTCATTTACTTTTAACTACATCTAAGAATACGATTGCCTCTTACTAAATGATAAGACATAGACATATTATTTATAAAGTAATTTTTAACCCAAAAAGAGTTAGCCCAGAAGGGCTATTAATTTCGTTTTAGCATTTTACGTCCAAAACTTTAAGAGTCTGAATCACTTTTCAAATTGTTGCCACCAAATATTATCGCCCTGTATTATATTTAAAGAAATTAAATAATGAAGAATTTGCATGAATGTATGTATGTTTCTCGCATAGTGAAAAAACATCGGTACCTAGAGCCATCCAATTTTGAATAACGTAGGCCTCCATTCGAATATGGACATCTGAAAGCCAAATTTGGAATTTGTTTTATTATCTGTTTCATATTTTGTAAAGCATGTATGAGTTTTTGATTAGAGAACACAACGATTTCAAAGCGAGGAATGGCAACACTGTACAAAAAAAAGAAAACGATTTTATCTCCAGCGCACGAGACTGTGCATCGGAAATTCTACAGATATGCTCATTTTAAAATTATTTTGGGATATTGCTGTTGAACTGAATTTTATGGTTTAAGTGCGAAGAACATGATATTTAATAAATAAAAGTAACACACAAAACGTTAAAAAAAATGCCCTTTTGGACGTAATATAAAATCTGAAAGCTTACAGATCATTTTTTTTTTTTTAATTTTTAGATTAATGCTGAAAGTTTTACTTCCAATGAGCCGTCTCGGCGTGCAGAATCGGGAACTGACAAAGGTAATATATATATATATATATATATAATGAAACAAATTAATATAATTTGTAATATTTACTCATGATTTATTTTGGCTAACAGACTGAACGGTCATATAAGTTACAATTTAACTTAATGTTTTAAAATCTGAGGAAAGATCACTAAAACATTCTAAGCCCTTCATTTTGGCGCAAAGTAACTTGAAAAACTTTATATGTAATTATGAAATCCTTTCTTATACCAGTCTATGTGCATAAAAGCAATCGACGAATGGAGAAAAGCATTCTGGTATCTCGCTAAACTCCTTGTTCTTGAAGGACGTATTCCTGAAGACGATATACTGTTTTTCATGACTATGGACGAAATCAAAGAATTACTAAACACGCGGTCGCCGAAAATATTAGCCAGGTAGTTATTTTAAATTTCATTGTATTGCTTCCTATGTTGTCTTGAATATTTTTGTGGTACAAAAAATAAAAATGAAATGCTGTACTCATTTCATTTTTATTTTTTGTATAAAAATTGCTGTACTCATTCAAAAAGTAATTTGGAGCGGTTTAACTTTTGAAAAATCATTGTTTTCAAACTTAAACCGCATTTTGATACATTTTTTTTTTTTTTTTATTTAGGAAATTTCGTTTCATTTTCTCAATACGGTTGCTAAAATTGAGTTACTTCTCAAAACTGATAAGAGATGGCAGCACCAAACTTTTCTGGGTAGCTAATATTTGATACGAAGGCTTCAAAACGTAGGTTGTTTCATAAATGATTCAATTATTTTCAAAATAAAAAGCCCCAAAATTTGTAAATATTCCACAATATATTTTATAATAAGGGATGAATGATTGTTGAAATGTCTTTAGTTCACAAAAAAAAAAAAAAAAAAAGTAACGGAACCCTATTGATTTTGAATTTTTCATCGCATCGCGGTTTCACTATGAAACCACAACCCCTCTGAGACATTGGACGAAGCATCACATGTGACATTACACCACAATTTGTATTATTATGACTTACAACAAATATGCGAAATTTCAAAACGCAAAGCAAATAAACAATAGCTGAGTGATTTCGGATCTCTGCTGTAAACAGTTTCGCCTGAATTTCGTTTCAGTAGATTCAAAGGTGATGATGTATGGACTTTTGAGAGAAGGAAAATATTTCTTATTTTTCACAGAGACACAGAGCACACTGAAGAATACTTACAGCTGCATTTATTCTGTTTCTCTTAGCGGACACTTTTCTCATGCTTATAGCTCATAGTAAAATATTTGTATGCATCTAAATTTATTTTATTTTTATATATAATTTTCTTAGTTTTTAACATAACTTTGCAAAATATTTCGTAGTTTTATCCAAATGCAAGTCACGAAAATGTGCATATCGCAGTACCACCGAGAAGCCACACAGAACTCGGTGGATGTGTCAAACCGGTAATGTTGGTTTGTGCATGTTTCAAAAAGACATTATATATTTTGAAAAATTTCATAGAAAATGATTTTATTTGTTTAAAAATATGAGGATTTTTTTAAAATTATACATATATATTTTTTTTCCATTTCCATCTCATGTCTTTGTTTTCGGTTTTAATTTTCTTTTTAAATTTATAATTAAAAATACGTGGTTATACAAACATTAGTTACTTCATTATTAGTTAATTTTATCTCTTTTTTTAAACTCCTACTATTAGCTCACACTGTCCCTATATCTTGTTCAAATTTTCAATCGTTGATAAAATACTTTTTATTCATCCACTCAAGTCCAAATACATTTTTTTAAACTTGTAGTGGATGACACTTGATACCAATACATTTTTTCCCGTATTAATTTTTTTAATTTTTTGATTTTATTTATTTATCTATTTTTTGCATTTTAAAAATTTTTCTTTGTTGACATAAGTAGGAATTGACTTGAAAAAATTATATTGCTTGTTTTTCTGTTTTAAAATTTTCAATTTATAATTAAAAATGTGTGTCTATACAAAAATTAGTTATTTGGTTATTAATTACTTTTTATCTCTTTTTTTGTTTTAAAATTTTTTATTTATAATTTAAAATACATGTTTATACAAACAATACTTACTTTATTATTTGTTCAGTAATTTACTAGTGTAATCTGCAGTTTGGGTTACTTTTAGATACTTTCCATCAAAGTAAATATAAATGAGGAAATGTTTAATTTTAAATGCTTTAGACGGGCGCCGGCTTCAAGGCGAAACCGGTCCCTTTTCCATAAAGGGGAAAGAAACAAAAATTTTTAAACTCATTTATGTTGTCTGTAGGAACACTGCATATCATTTTGCTTACTTTTTCATAGCTTTTAAAAAATCATAGCATTGCTTCCCTAAACAGTTAAAATATTAACTAATTTTTAACAATCATTAATTCGGTGTAACATCAAAATGCAGAAGATAAGACTTTAACACAAACGGCAAAAAACGTCAAAACGGCAAAAAAGTTGTGTAGGTCATCTTATTAAGAAAACTGAGCATTAATATGATGCACTGAGAAAAGACTTAGTAAAAAGAAATAGAAAATAATGACATCGCTTAGCACTGTAAACAGTAATTATAAAAATATACTGCTTTAAAAAGCTTCTGATTTTGCTCTTGAATTTTATGTCACGCAAGTGCTAAAAAATTCGACGTTTAATAATAAAGTTTAAAAAAAAAAAAAAAACATAGGGGGATGTTAGCAGGACTTAGTAGAAGAGTAGAATGTTAAAATGCGAACTCGGTGAGAGAATAAAAAAACTTTAACAAACCTTTTGGTGCGACGTCAATATATGAATCCTTTCAGATTATAATTATTATTTTTTTGTGTGTATTTGCTTTTATTTATTTTGTGTTTTGTGCCAATTTAATGAAATTTTGAATGACACAACGATATAAAAACAATATGTTTCCATTCGACAAAGCTTAAAATATTCGGCTTCCAATTTTAATCAATAAAATCGGCGATTTAAAAGAAATATATACTGCGACTGCCCGAAAGAAAATAATTTGTATCTCCCACGCGCCAGTGAATTACCACCTACTTTTACATTCAACTCATCTTTTATTGATTAACGAAGTAAGTCATTTAAAAGAATAAACGTAGGTCTTCATGCCTATTATTGTTAATTATCAGCTAGACCCTAGAAATGGCAGTAACTAAATTAAAATCATTATATATATATTTTCTTCCTTTTTTATAATAACAATTCTAGGCGCGTGATCGGGCAAGCGGCTAATCATTTATGAAGAATAGCCATGATTATGGTCATGATGTTTGCTTAAGAGTGACAGTATCATTTGCAAAAAAACTCAGAAGCCAGTCAAAGATCGCACTCAAACGGATCCAAATTTTAGCTTCAGATCCCGAAATGCACTTGCGCTTTTCGATAAGACGTTTCGTTTCTAGACCACACAATAAAAAGTAAAAAGTATATATATGGGGGAGGGGGATCTTAGCAGGAATTAGTCCGAGAGTAGAATGTTAATGCGAACTCAGTGAGAGAATAAAAAATAACCTTAACAAACCTTCTGGTGCGGCGTTAATATATAAATCCTTTCAGATTATTATTTATTTATTTATTTTTTTTTTTTTTTTTAAATTTTTCTTCTGGTGCGAAGTTCAAGTTTCAAGATCACTAACCACCATGTAACGCATCAAGGCATCAATATTTCAGTCAATTAAAGCATTACACAATAGATGGCGCCACTAAACAACGAGCTAATAGTCTTTCCCCGTTCCCATTTCTGAGTACACAAATTCTAATGAAGTTTAATTGCGATTTAAATATGACTATAAAAATAACACTGTAATTTTCATCACTGTAGGTAAATTGTTTAGAAAAAGTACATTCGAAAATTACAGTTCTTAATCACGTAATTATGAAAATCAGATCTTGCTGTAAATATGTTATACACTAAAGATTTTCTCCTTCAGAGCAACTCAGAGACAAAGGAGGTATCCAGTTCTCTGCAAATACATTTTTCCAGAAATTATGAAGGGCGTACCAAGACCTGTAAGTTAAATTTTAACTATAATGCTTTATACTAACTTCCTTTTCAAAGAGTAAAATGAAAGGAAAATGCAGTCGAAATCGAAATAAAAACAATATGCTAAAATTTGTCAGTAAAGAAAATATTTTCATTTAAAATCATTTAATACACTTCAATTATACTTATAATAGCGGAAACTAAATTAATAACTGTATCTGAATTTTTTTTTTTTTTTCTCCTGCTTCGTTTTATAGAAACGCTAACAAATTTTGCTTCAAAACCTCTTTCTGTAAAAATTAATGCAAACTTCCGTATTATAATAAAATAAAGTGTGCTTCATTTACGTTTAAGTAACTATAAAATATCTACGCAGTGTTATTTGTAAATATTTTATATATTTGTGTTTTATACTAAATACGCACTGCTGTTTTTTTCTGCTTAAAAAAAACTTAATGCATGATACAAATTTTTAAGATGTTCTGAAACAGGCAAACTATCAGACTGCTTTGACACACTACGGCTATCTGCCTAAGAGGTTAGGTTAGGTTAGGTTATTTAATTACGGCAAAGCCTCGATGGCTATCTGCCTAAGGGGAGGGATGCCTTCGTGGAGGACTTTCTAAGGGAAACTGGCTTGTATACACGTTACACATGGGGAAAACACCCATGCAGCCAGCCCGTTCGCGGGATTCGAACCTTGGACCGAACTACCAGTGTTCAGCGACTTTACCGCTCGGCCGCTGGTGGGCCTATTTGCCTAAGAGGAAGGATGTCTTCGTGGAGGACTTTCTAAGGGAAATGGCTCGTATAGACGTTACAAATGTGGAAAACCACGAAAACACTCACGGAGAGCCCCCCGGAGAACGGGTCCGAGGGTCTCTCACCCCTCTTTCCCTACTATCAACTCCTCGAGAGGACTTTTTGCTCGCCGCATATTTAGAGTGCTCCCATATCGCACAGACACTATGTAATAATAATAATATGGTGGGCGTGGAATAATAATATATCTACATCTACTAACATCCTTCTCCGAGATTCGAACCCGGGCCCTTCGGCACGGCAGGCAACGACGCTAATCACTAGATCGGTTAGGTGGCTGGGACCGAACTACCAGTGTTCAGCGACTTTACCGTTCGGCCGCTGATGGACTTGGCGAATGGAATAATATTTAGCAAAATAAACCTTAGCCTTGGAATATGAAAGGCACAGTGTTAAATTCCCACGAAAAGTAGAAGTTTTTCTATAAAAATCAGTGCTGTTCTTAAATAAATTTTGCCCGATTTAAAAAATCGAACTACTTGTTGAATGTGAAGCTACGCTTTGTGCGAAATATGCAATGTATATACAAAATGCCCTAGAACACTGCGTATCCAGTTTTGGTGATTATGAAATCAGTATTTATTAACACATGGTTTGTTTTCAAAATTTCAAATAATTTTCAGAAATGACAATTTTTTGGTAAATTCCTTCTTCATACATACCCTGATCGGTTCAAACGTTCGTTCTTGAAAACTGTCCATATTTTGTACATCTTGCCAAGTACCATTTGCAAAACTGGACTGTTTATAGTCCGGATCAGTCTTCGCACAGAACATGAAATACTCTTAAAATGTAACTTTTCAATGCTTCAAAATGTAGTGGACAAGCGATTTTAAAATTCAGCTTCGATCATACGGTCCGATTTTCTTCGATTTGAATGATATATTTACATCTTTTCTTGCCTTTTGGAACTGTTCATGATACTTTAGAACATTTCTGTGGTCGTTTTGAGCAGTGTCAGTTACTTCAAATTTATCTAATACGAGTAATGGTATGTCGCTTAGGTGGATCCATTTGAAACTCTCTCTTAAATTAACTTTCATTTTACTACGTTTTCATAATTCAGCAGTTCTTTACAATAAATTCTTTAAAATTTTCAGAGCTTAGTGTATTGTCGTCCATTATTTGAAATAAGTAAAGCACGAAAGCAGAAAAATTAAGTGAATTATCATGTGTTAAATGGTGTATATTTTGATATCGCTTTGATTATTACTAGAAAAATATACTTCCCGCTAACCTAATTTAAATACAACATCATGGACTTTGCTTCATCTGCTTGTCGACATAATTTCTTGTAATTCAAGCTGTTTACTCATTTGCATTCATTTAACACAGGAAGGATTGTTTCAGCCGCCCAAACGGGGTAGTGGTTAGCAATGCTGACTACCGTAACGAAGGGCCAGGGTTCGAAGAAGGCGTGGATGTTTGTTAAGTGTATACTGTGTGTAAATGTTTATGAGGCGCGGGAGCACTCTAAATATGCGGCGAGCCGAAAGTGCTCACGAGAGGTTGCTGGTTAGGGAAGAAGTTTTGAAAACCCTCGAAGCCGTCTCTGCGGGGGGGGGCATCCATCAAAATTGGGGGCGGAACTCAAGTTGTACTGTCACCTATATGGTACTCAAGGCTTTTGCCAACGGTAGGGGCAATTTTGTACTACTTGCCACGAAGAATTTCGTGAGTTTGTTTTGATTTGTTAGACAAGTAAAATAAGTCACAAAAACAGAATTGTTTCAATGCAGAATATAATTTTCTGTTTTATAATAATTTTGACTTATTTCTGTTTATGCCAACCGCACTAAAACCATATAAGGTATCTTCTCCCTTCTTTCTGCAGGCCTTCGTGGTGTAAAGGTAACACACTCGGCGCGTATTCGAGAGGTCCAAGTTCGTGTCTCGGCGAGGGCACTATTCATTTCTCACGTCTTTATACCACCAGAATTTGGCGACTGGGTGCCTTAGTCCTCAGTCGCCCTTTAAAAGGGGAGTATATAAGGCGTTTTCTTCCACCTTTCTGAATGCCTTCGTGGTGTAATGGTAGCACATTCAGCGCGTATTCGAAAGGTCCAGGTGAGGGCACTGCTCTAATAACAACCTAATAGCTCTACAACCAGGTGTCTAAACATAACCTAATAGCTCTACAACCGTATGAGCAAATTTTTCTTAGAGTCCTTGATTTATTTAAATTCCTTAAAGAATTTCGAGTTCTGAATCAGGATCCGATTTGCAAAACTCGAGACCAGGGCAAAATCTGTTACGAAGCCCCTCTATTCTAATGTTTTCTTCTCAATTGTTTTAGTATACGTCACTGATGCAAGTTATATTTCACGTAAAGTACATTTTTTATAAAGCATTTCGAAGAAATGACCTTATAATTCGTTATTTTTCAAAGTTAATTCAAGGGAATTAAACTTCTAGTACGCTCTGTAGCTGTTCATTTTTATTTCATATTATTTTAACTTATGTAACATTTTAATTCATTTTAATCCAGTTTCTGTCGATGTGGAATGGATAAGAAGAGGCGCCCCCCCCAAAAAAAAACAGCGTTTTCTTAATTGAAATGCTTACCAGAAGTTAGCGAGTGATGTGAACAAAGCAAGATAACTGGTAGGAACCACGTGATAATTGGCTGTTGAATCCATGGACCTTATATATTTCTTATAAGGTCCATGGTTGAATCGCTGTGATGTCAGTTAGTCTTTTCCTAATTTTTCAATACAAGCGTTTTTAATACATGTCAGGATTAACATGTCAGGATACATGTCAGGAATAATTGAATGTCAGGTGTCATTCAATGCTCATCTCAGATGCAGAATTCTCTATTTGCGTTTTAGTCCTTGTTCGAAAGTGACGAAATACAGTACTTTAAATTTATTCATCAAAGACTGTTGCTGTATGAATACAACAGAGCAAAAGGCAGTGTCAGATAAAGATCGTGGCCTCCCCGTATGCAACAACGATTCTACGGCAAACTTTAAAATGTGAGCCACTGTTGCGCCCCCCCCCCCAAAAAAAAACAGTGTTTTCTTAACCGAAATGCTTACCAGAAGTTAGCGAGCGATATGAACAAAGTAAGATAACTGGTAGGAACCACGTGATAATTGGTTGTTGAATCGTTGTGATGCCTGTTAGTCTTTTCCTAATTTTTCAATACAAGCGTTTTTAATACTCTTCGTCAATACTTTGTGTAATTAACATTTGCCATTGTATATATCCTCAGTATTTTACGCATATCTAGGGAAAGCATATAATATGAAAATAATTCGAATATTTCATACATTCTTCCCAAACACTAGGTATTTTATATATGCTGGTTTCCAAAAATTAAGGAAAAATCATAAAAATAGCGATAACGTGTTCAAAAATAAGCCAATCTGTATAAAATTTGAATATATAGTCAAATAAAAGTTGCTGGATAAAACAACAGTATGCAAATTAGTGACGCTGCAATCGGAACACGTCATTTACGAGAAGCACAAAATTGCATGTTTGAGGGCAAGCCTGCAAATTTTGCTGTATACTGAGATAAGAAATCTGGAATAGCCAATTCGTAACAATAATCTCCAGTTATCATTTGTCCGAAGAACCTGCGATAGAGAGCTTTTGGGATGCTAGAAGCAGGACAAAGTCAGACAAAAGTGGTCAGATGGCTTTGGTAGTATAGACGTTGGCAACAATTTCTAACCACATATTCGGGCATACAGGAGGTTCAGCCGAGGTTGGCCAGCCATTATAACAAATATCGGTAAACTACGACGAGCGCCGTTTACCGATATTTGTTATAATGCGCGCGAAGGAACACAGCCGTAAATCCGACTTAACTCCAGATACCCCCTTCCTGTAGACCGGAAGGTTGGTGTCAACGTCAACCGTGCGTAGAAGGCTTCACGAAGTAGGTCTGTACGGGAGGCGACTAGCCATTTGCGAACCACTCACGTCATGCCATAGAAAGAAAAGTTTGAGGTAGGCACGTCAGCATGTCCACTGAACGGCTGATCAGTGGAGTGTTGTTCTCTTTACGGATGAGTCCAGGTTTAGCCATCAAAGCGATAGTAGGCAATATTTGATTAGGAGAGGACATGGAACTAGTTATCATCCATCAAACATTCGTTAAAAAGATGCATACGGAGGAGGCAGTGTGCTGTGTTTGGGGTGATATCTCTCTGTGTGAACGCACAGACTTCCACGTCTTTCCACGTGGAGCCGT